ACAGACATTGGCATTTTCCCCTTACACAAATAAAAAACGTAAGTTTATTTCTTTTTTTAAATCTTTCTTTTATATAGCAATATTTATATGTCTGCTGCCGGAATGTGTTAAAGCTTAGGAATCCATATGGTTTTCATTAGTTTTCTCAAAACGGACTCCACATGACATTGGCCCTTACGGTTCTAAGCTCTTCATATATTTGGTATCTGTTTCGATGCCTGGAACAGTTACCACCACGACAACTAGTACTGACGCTTCTAGTGAGAGCAGGGTTAGTGGGGTAGCCTAGTGGTTAAAGCGTTCGCTCTTCAAGCCGAAGACCCGGGTTCGATTCCCCACATGGGTGCAATGTGTGAAGCCCATTTCCGGTGTCCCCGCCGTGATATTGCTGGAACATTGCTAATACTCACCATACTCACTCACTCACTCTAACGACATCGTGGATTGCGCTGGGCGATGCTGCGCATTAATTAATTCTGTAATGGAATGATCAGACAAAGCTTTCTCTTTTATATACTGAACCGCAAATGAAACGTCAACCCAAGTAACATTGCATGAAAAGTTGTCATTTAAATATCTGGATAATTTTTGTCAAAGTTTCTCAAATTTAACATTACCTTGTCCGGAAAAATGAAATTTGATGATTAAAAAACCAAAGCAGATGACAATAAAACCGATCGCCCAAACGCATCACGGCAACGGCCATGGTAACCCGATGCACGTGAGTTCCGTGCAAATTGAAATGCACACGCGTTCCCCCATTTCTTGCCCTTTTAAAAAATCCGGCCAGATCAGTTAACATTCATTCGTTATTGAATTGCTACCACATGCCAAAATTGAAATCAGCGACACCAAGCCCTTGGACGATTGCAAGCTGGACAAACCGCCCGGCAAGTAGCCAATGCATTTCAAGTCCACCTAAGGACCATATACAGGCTCCAGCAACGATACCAGACCACCAACACTACAGATGATCGACCACGTAGTGGAAGACCAAGGGTCACCACCCGACGTCAGAATCGTCAGATTGTGCGACAGCATCTTCAAGATCGCTTTGTTTCTTCTGCGGAAACTGCGCGACAGACAATGGGGACACACCGGCGACACATTAGTGCGGACATCGTGCGTCGACAATTGACGAGCAGACACCTCCTCTGTCACAGGCCACACCGAGGACCCATTCAGACACCACGTCATCGCCGGGACCGTCTTCAGTGGGCAACACAGCACCAGCATTGGCGCCACCAGCAGTGGAGAAGAGTTCTCTTTTCAGACGAGAGCCGTTACTGTATCTCAACAGCAGATGGCAGAGAGTCTGGCGACGCCATGGGGAACGTTATTCGGATGCTTGTGTTGTTGAGAGAGACTCGTGGGGTTGTCCGAGCATAATGGTGTGGGGTGGAGTTTGCACAGAGGGTCGGCCCTGTGGTCTTCCAGAACATCGGTCCAGAGAGAGGCAATGGTGTCACAGCAGCTCGGTACATTGATCAAGTCTTGAGACCACACGCCATACCTCATTTGGCACGTCGCCGCAACCACGAGTTTCAGCATGATAACGCCCGTGCCCAAACTGCGAGAGCAACAAGAGACTTCCTCCAGCAGAATAGCATCAGAACCATGCAGTGGCCTGTCCTCAGTCCCGATTTAAATCCCATTGAGCACCTGTGGGATGAGATTCAATGACGGCTGAATGACGCCCGACCAAGGCCGACAACTGCAGCTGAACTGCGTCAGGCGTTCCTCAGAATGTGGGCTCAAGTGCCTATGGCCCTCATCAACCGCCTCATGTATCGACGTTGCACGGCAGCCATCAATGCACATGGCGGACAGACGAGATACCGACTTGTGATGCCATTTTCTCAGAGACTAGTGTTGTGTTTCACTTTAAGAACATTTGACACTTTAATTTCAACCTTGATGATCAGTTTTGCCAAGTTTCATCTTTTTTATATGTCTCAAAGTATGTTTACGGTGTTTGGACAAATAAGGTTTCTCATATATCTATCAATGGTGACGTTTCTTTTGCGGTTAAGTATATATTTCGTTCGGCCATGTAAGTTACAAATAATATCAGTCTCCTGAAAGTTAATAGATCGAAAAACACCATGTATTTTTTTTCATTAGCCTGACATGTTTAAATAGCATCTCTGTGACAGCTGTGAAGCAAACGATTCTTATAGACGAAAAAAAACAACATTTTACACACGGGATCATATATATGGTTCCCTTTAGGAATTTGCATATTTGCGTATTTATGCGCATGCGTGTCTATTTACTACGGTTCGCAGTGATGTCTCTAAACATACAGAATACATTATAAAGGTTGTCAAACAACTTTAGTTCCTTCCTCTCATGTCAAAGGTCACGTGGTTTGACAGACATATTGGATTTAAGGAGATTATCGCTTCCTGAGCTTTTAACATGAATTCCCCACTCAGACACAGTATACTGACTCCGAGCCTAGCTGTCATTGTTTTAGACCCTTAATGCCGAGTGCCAGGCAGGACAACAACAAGTGCCATCTTTTAACGTCTTTTGGTACGATGTGGCCGGGTATCGAACCCCGGACCTTCCTACGGACGCTCTACCACTAGACCACGGATGAGATCTCGTTTCCTAAGCGTTAATCATGTGAATATCAATATTCATTAACCACCTCATCCATTACTTATTAGACTGTCAACATGAAGACAGTCTCAAAATTATATTCAGTAGCAAACTGTACCTGTCCAGTCGGAAAATGTTTTTTTCTATTTTACGTTTCACAGGAGCGTGGGCTTCAAGTAGATAGGTGTGGTTTACAAGTTTTATAGCTATCTATTAGGATATGGTTCATGCTTAATTAAGTAGACATACATATATTAACATCACATTAACATATACTGAGGTGAGGTGAGGTGAAATTGGGTTTAACGTCGCGTCGAAGATTATTGCACTTATATAGCGACGTGAATGTACGTGTGTGTGTGTGGCTGCTTGTACTAGTCCGGACTGATGCCGATTTATAGTGCTAGCCCACTGAGATACCATGCCGCAGTTTAACATGAATACCCCACTCAGACACAGTATACTGACTCCGAGCCGACCAGTCCTTGTTTTAGCCCCTTAATGCCAAGCGCCAGACAGGGTAACAACAAGTACCATCTTTTAACGTCTTTTGGTATGACGCGGCCGGGGATCGAACCCCGGACCTTCCGCTCTCCGGGCGGTCGCTCTACCACGGAGGCGGTCTAACATATACTGGAAAATGATGGGAATGCGTAGCAACTGGGACGAATTGAATGCGGTTTTCAAGAAATATTAATATCTGATTCAGCAAAGTTAAAACATTGTGTAACCCAGGTACCTGTATATGTGTTTGTTTAATTGTTTGTTTGTTGTTTAACGCCGCACTCAGCAATGTTCCAGCTATATGACGGCGGTCTGTAAATAATCGAGTCTGGATCAGGCAATCCAGTGATTAACATGCATCAACCAAGTCAGCGACCCTGACCATCCGATCCCGTTAGTCGCGTCTTACAACAAGCACAGTCGCCTCTCACGGCATGTGTTGTTGAAGACCTCTTGAGTTGTCTGGCTACCTTATCATCAGGAACGACGTCTCATCTTCCCGAGGCAAGAGAGCTAACTGACTATAAAAAGTCCAGTTTCCATCCTTGCCACACTAGGCTGAAATTATGGAGTTATATTTTGGCTGGACTAACGAGTCTAGGCATAGTCCAATCAAAATCGCGTTATGAAATCAACATCCGGTTCGTAAACTGCCGTGCAGATTTCGGTCGATTGCAGGATTTGCAAAGCATGTATACCGTCAACTTAGCGTCAACATATATTTTTCAAATCTTTTCATGTTTTGTACACTTGATGCACTTCTCGAAGTGAGACCCGTTTTGTTACAATATAGATCTTGATTATCGACCCTATCGTCTTCAATGGGCGCCTCCATTTTGTTTGAAGCAACTGCAAGTGGTATGAGAGGTGCCATCCGACTGGTCAATATTAATTATAAGGACATAGAAGGGACATAACTCTGGTAACCACTGGTGGTGCTACGATCGAACCCAGAAATTCCGGACTAGTTCGGCAAGGGGGGAAACTGGACTCAGTTGACTCCCTTCCCCCGGGAAGATGCAACGTCTAGTCAGGGAGGCTGGTTGTTGCTTAACCTCGATCACGATTCTCGGCCCAGCACAATTCATGGGTTCATGGTTTTCATCAAAAGATCGAGTAAAAGTCTCCGGACAAAACCCGGGGATTCGAACGCTTTAACGCTTTATCCACTAGGCTACCCCACCGCCCCTGTAAATAGTATGTAGTTCATACAAATATATTTAATTACTTAATTGAATTTATTTGTATTATTTTGATAAGATATACATACGACTTAAAGAAACACAGTATGACGCCAGTATCTGCACAGTCCAAGACAATGTTCCCTTGCCAGGAACCGCTTCTTCCTGATTCGAATCCCGAATTAATCCTGAATATGATCCTTGTTTTGTCAGCACCCTCGTCGTCGGCTTCACCAAAGTGGCACACGTCAGCGTACGATGTCCCTCGTGGCGCTCTTCCACACAAGGCCTGCGGTCTACGCTTCCATACGACGCTAAACCCAACTCACTCACTCATGTACACTATACAATACCAATGTCAACGACACAAATATGTTTTTCTTTTTGTCCTTAATTGGTTTCCGTAGCTAAGAGTCGCAGTATAAAAGACCAGCTGGTCATGATGGATTGCCATGCCGTTCAGAAGAAGACTATATCTGCCACATCGGTATGCACTCGTAGACTCCGGCCCATTTGCAGACGAAAATTGCAGAATCAACCAAACCAACAAACGACATTTGTGAAATACGCATTAAACAGATCGACAACTAAGCAGACGACACTGGTGGAATCCACGAAATCAGCAGACGACACTTGTGGAACCACGAAATCAGCAGACGACACTTGTGGAATACACGAAATCAGCAGACGACACTTGTGGGGTCCGCCATGTCTGGGTCCTGGAGAGTAGCTGTTGTGACGGGAGGCAACAGAGGCATCGGACGCAGTCTGGTTCGTAATCTGTGTCAAACATTTGACGGGACTGTGTATCTCACAGCAAGGAATGAGGAACGTGGCAAGAAGGCTGTTCAAGATCTGAAGACACAAGGTTTAAATCCTCGCTTCCATCAACTGGATATCGACTCGAGAGACAGTATTTGTGATTTCGCCAAACATCTGAAGGAGACCCACGATGGAGTTGATGTAGTCATTGCCAACGGTGCCGTAAGTTACGAGAAGAACAGCCCCATCCCTTTAGAAGAGCAGTCGGAAGCCAACATCCGCATCAACAACATCGGCAACGCAAACCTGTACCAAGCCCTAGAACCACTTCTCAGACAAGATGGCCGCTATGTCATCGTGTCGAGTCGTTTCGGGCAATTGACCAACATCTCTGAGAAGCTTCGACCAAAGTTCCAGACTGACAATATGTCGATTGACCAACTAAACTGTGTCCTCAGCGAATATGTGACATCTACCAAGGACGGGAGCTACAAGGACAAAGGGTGGCCAGATTGGCCAAACGTCATGTCCCAGGTGGGTCGTGTAGCTCTGACCAGAATCATTGTGCAGAGTCTTAAGGATAACCCTCGTCGTCTGCTCGTGAACGCCTCCTGTCCCGGATGGACAGTCACTGACGCCGCAAGGTCATATCTGGACGTCAGAGGAATGTTTGGTGACGTCAAGGCAAAGAACCCGGATGAAGCAGCCGTCGACCTCGTTTGGCTGGCCACGTTGCCAGCTGGAACGACGTCGCCACATGGAGAGTTGGTCCAGTACAGGAAGATTGTGTCCTATGAAGGGTAACATGTCACGTCCATCACCCAATGTCCCACACGTACTGTACAGCTAGCAGCGTGATGCTTGGACATGAATAAACAAATAGCTTCCGTACATTTCAGTGATTTTTTAGGTATATTTTAAAAACGCTGCTGGTGTTTCAATTGAAATAAATGAAACAGTATCGTGTTATGCGCATGCTTTTGTAATATAATGATTATTATGCTATGACCTGTTTTCGACAGGCTGCCAGGCATAAACATAATCGGTAAAGGGTATGTTTGTTACGAGTTCCTATACGTGTTTTCTGAAGTCGGTTGTTCTTGTTCTGATGGTTTTGTTGTTAGGCATGATACAGGGGCGGTCGGGTAGCCTAGTGGTTACAGCGTTCGCTCGTCACGCCGAAGACCCGGGTTCGATTCCCGACATGGGTACAATGTGTGAAGCCCATTTCTGGTGTCCCCCGCCGTGATATTGCTGGAATATTGCTAAAAGCGGCGTTAAACCATACTCACTCACTCACTCATGATACAGTTAGCACAAACTGCCGAATCGTTTTATTCAACCCGACGTCTGCTTTCCGCCATCTTACCCGTCGTAGATCCTGAGACAGGCCCTACTTTGTCTTAATATAATTTTTGTCGTAAATTTTAAGATATCTTAGCGCTAAAAACACTTTGAGAATACGCTTAGCTAAGATATATTCTTTCGCTACAACGTAACGACAATCGCTAAGCTTTCTTTTGCTGCAACAGCTTTACGACAATCGTAGCATTAAGATAGCTTTGACAATACACTTAGCTCAGCTTTCTTTCCCTGCGACAGCTTTACGACAAACGTAACGCAGAGGCAGCTTTGAGAATGAATTCACTTGGTTAAGTTTTCTTTCGCTGCGACAGCTTTACGACATTCATAGCAGTAAGATAGCTTTGAGAATGCACTCAGCTAAGCTTCCTTTCGCTGCGACAACTTTAGGAAAATCGTAACGCTAAGATAGCTTTGACAATGCACTTAGCTTAGCTTTCTTTCGCTGCAACAGCTTTAGGACAATCGTAACGCAGAGATAGCTTTGAAAATGAATTCACGTAGTTACGTTTTCTTTCGCTGCGACAGCTTCACGACAATCGTAAAGCAGAGATGGCTTTGAGAATGAATTCACTCAGTTACGTTTTCTTTCGCTGCGACTGCTTTACGACAATCGTAATGCAGAGATAGCTTTGTGAATGAAGTCACTTCGCTAAGCTTTATGAAAATCGTAGCGCTAAAATAGCCTGGAGAATGCACTTAGCAACGCTATATTTTGCTGCGACAGCTTTACGGTAATCGTAGCGCGAAGATGGATAGGTGGTAACTCACAATTACCTTGTACTCACAATTGAATGCCTGTAGTCCACGTTAACATACCTACTGCACGCTACAAGCTACAATACAGGACCGTGCTATCAGTGGTACCTTCTACCAATACTAACAGTACACCTGATTACACTCTGGGATCAGAACGGGTGGCCCTGTCGTCCGAGGCGCCGAAATTCGCTGTGCAGAGTTGCCTCCCTTGGACACGCCAGAAACCTATGATCGTGATTTCGAATCCCGGTTCGCCCCGATTATGTTCCCAGGTTTTTCAGCACCATACCCGTGCTCGTGGGTTTCACCAGAGGTAAACGTCTGAGATCAACATAACTTCGGGCTTTCCTCCCACATCAAGCTGGCACGCCGTGATATGACTGGAATACTGTTCAAAACTACGGTCAACCCAACCTACCGACTCTGGAATCAATAATCATGGTTGCCATGCATAGATATGCATCACTTTAAACTCCAACTTACTCACTCACTCATTAAATTCTAAGCAGTTTCTTCCATTGTCCGGGGGCACGGGTGGCCCAGTCGTCTAAGGCGCCGCGAATCCCTGTGCAGAGTTGCGTCCCTTGGACACGCCAGAAACCTATGATTGTGGGTTCGAATCCCGGTTCGCCCCGATTATGTTTCTAGGTTTATCAACACCATACCCGTGCTCGTGGGTTTCACCGAAGTGGTAAACATCTGAGACCTGCATCACTTCGGGCTTTCCTCCCACATTAAGCTGACACGCCGTGATATAACTGGAATACTGTTAAAAGCGACGTTAAACCCAACTCACTCACTCACTCTTCAATTTTCCAGGCAAGAGTATGTGTAATGGCAAGTTTTGTGGCCTTTCTAAAGCCACACTCTGGTACTAGGTGAAGATCTGTCAAGTAAAACAAAAGCACCAATTCCATGCATAACAATTAACAAACAAGGTATTTTTTCATATTTGTAATATAAATTGTTTGATAGGCATTTCTAAGAAGTTGACGGATGACAAAGCAGACACAATTCATAGATATCAACTAAAGTATAATAAACACGTTGTAGTATATACATTCATGTGTCAATCTTCATGGCCATCCTCTTGAGGACGCTGCGTCCTTTTCAAACGAAACACCGTGAAAACACATTGGATGGAATTATGTTCAACATTGATATTGTTTGTTTGTTGTTTAACGCCGCACTAAGCAATATTCCAGCTATATGACGACAGTCTGTACATAATCGAGTCTGAATCAGGCAATGCAGTAATTGATATCATGAACATCGATCTACACAATTGGGATACGATGACATGCATCAACCAAGTCAGCGAGCCTGATCACCCGATCCCGATAGTTGCCTCTTACGACAAGCATAGTCGCCTTTTACGGCAAGCATGGGTTGCTGAAGACCTATTCTACCCCGGATCTTCACGAGTGGTTTCTATATCAGTTACCTTGAATTTCGGTTCGGGCCATGTGACGGAGGCTCACTGCACAACGGGAATTCATTGCATAACGGGAATTCGCTGTATTAAGGGAATCCTGTGTGTATAGCAGGGGGATGACGGGAGTTCGCTGTATTACGGGGGTTCCCTGCATAGCAGGAGAATGCTGTACAACGGGGATCCGTTTTATAACGGAACTTAATCTAAAACGGAATTTGCTGTACAAAAAAACAAATCACCATAAAACGAGAGTCCAACACTATGTTACTGATAAAACACAGTACCAAAAACAAACAAAAATATTGATCCTGAATTTGGTAAAAACAAGGATGACATTTCGAAAAATGTAAAACAACGAACAAATATCGAAACAAAACATGAATGATACGATATAATTTAACAAACGTGCTGCAATGACACGGAACTAAATATCAACAACCATCAAAGGATGGAGTGTCACATGATCAGAGGATGAAATGGCTCATTAACCAGCTGAATATTTGCCACAAAAACGTTGAAAGGGAGCACTAAACTGTTCTGACACACAAACCTATCCCAGTATATGACAGAAAAGAGTAACAGCAAAGATCCACGACTATAAGTGAAAGAAGGAAACAAATGACCTGGTTTACAATGTGACCATAGGAGCTACTAGAACTGTTATGTCACTAAAGAGGCTACGTAGATCAGCTGGTTACTTGAATATTTTTATCAATCTCATTAAAATCAGATTCCCTCGCATCCGCTAAACAGAGATCTGAGGACATCCCATTACAGGTCGCGTCAAAACGACCTCTCGCGAACTATGACCGTGCAAAACATTTGTCTTAAAATGGCTATTTGCATTACAAACTGCGCTTTTTTAAATGCTTTGACAAAGTTTTCGAGTCAAAATTTGAAAACTGATCAAAAATAAATTCTTGATGATCTAATAGAATGGCTGAGATTGTATGGCAGAACTTCCCACGAGCCTTTAATGTCTCTTCGTTCAAATGTTTGTCCCATTGAAGCAAGAGATAGACGATGATTTTGACGGAATCAGTCGTTCAGGCCGTACCTGTCGTTCGGAATACCCCGTGTTAACGTTTTCGAGGTTGCATGATTGGAAAACTCATTCCGACTGTCACCTTCCTCATCCGAAAAGAGACGCTCTGATTGGTCGAATGAAAGGTCGTTCTGACGTGACCCGTAATGCGATGTCCGCAGATCTCTGTTTAGCGGTTAACTAAGATCTGATTTTAATGAGATTGATGAAATATAGAAGTTACGTCCATTGCATGAGACACCGCCTTGGACGTGTACAATATGCTTAACTACCAGTGAGTGGTTTCATGGTGCAATATCTATAAACGTTACAATGAAACAGTATGCCCCGCTCGAAAAACCTGTACAACTGGTCAAAATATTTGCAAAATGAACAAGCGCAACATTTAAGTATGAACGACACCACTGATACGATTATCTCGCTCTCAACTTTATTCATCCAGTTTCAGATTAGATGGAAACCAAATGAGTAATTGCAAAATGTGACGTTTTTAACTGGATACAGAGGTAGCCACGTTAAGAATTGGATCGGAATTCTGTCAGCATCTTCAGTTTCAATTCCTGTGCTCATTAAGGCACCCCCTCCGGTTCATAAAAACAGTTTTTTCAACAAAGCGGAATGACTACAATAAATTGGTTTTCTAATAGTATCAGACACGGAAACAAGGGAAGGTAATACACACTAGTCATCATGCCACGTACTGATTTCGCGATGACACAATATTTTCCATGGCATCAAAAATCGGACCGGAAGTAAACGACCTTTTTGAAACAATGGCTGGCATCACATTCCCCTCACAATTCAGAATCATCAACCTTGTGCTCAAAAACACCATACCCATGTGCCTTAGAACCTAATAAAAAATAATATGCATGAAGGTGTTTGTATCTATGAAAATATGTCTTTTGCAACGTGCTTTTTTGCATCATTTACTACACATAGAACAAAGCCACAGTGTTAAAGGCCCCGTGCATATATGATAGCTAACGCTACTGCATAATAAATACATGGCCTTTCTTTCAAAGTATCGCAATATGGCTGCAATATTGCCGATGCGATGTAAAACTTTAACTCAATCACTCACTCATTCTTTTAAAGTACGCATAAACCAAATGTACGTGAAAACTACAGAACTGGAAAGTAATTACAAATCATAACAAATTTGAATAAAAATGAATAACTTATAGGGTCAGTAGATCCAACAGTGAAAGAAGCAGTAACCTGAGGTCCATCTACATATTCCCCACACATCTCTCTACTTTTGATAGGGACGTTTATATTGCCATGGTACACAAAACTAATTCTCTAGTATGTGAAGTGTATATTTAAATAGAATCATATATCCCTATCAAATTTGAATAGAATGTAAGATAATGGTTATCAGACAGTTATGGAGGAATGATAACCATAGCAACCGGATAAAAAAGTAACAGAATTATTCAAGAAATAACAACAGTTACAACAATCATAACAACAACCTATTAACAGATGTGTAAAGCATACGCAATGTTCCCCTAACCAGATGTGAATAAAAGCCTCCATAATCTCCTGAAGTGAAAATACTCTTTAACCGTTATCATTTCGTGGTGTGACATGTGGGATAACATCACATTCCAATATCAAACATGAGCAATTATTCCGAAATGTGACTGAATTAGGACAGCAATGTTCATGTTCAATGTTGAGACACTATGGTTCTGTTCACATTGGCAATTTTACAACTCATTGTTTCACAAAAGGTTTTGAAAATGGGTATGATGGATAACTACTCGTTCACACCAACAGCATCCATAAACTCCTTGAACAATGTAAACTTTGAAAGAACTTCTAGTAAAACTGTAACAATTATGTTTGCATTGTACTTAACCTACAAAAGGGCCACCTAACTACGAGCGAAGAGCTGCCTTCTACAATCCACACACAAGGCATAAGCGTCCAATCATACTAGATCCACATGGGACTACAGGGAAATGCTGTCGGGAATAAATCCGTGCAGAATGCATTAATATGACCTGTCTCATCAATACCAAATTATCCCTCAAATTATTTACAAATATCAACAAATAAATCGACAGGCAATTCCAAATACAGCAGTAACTGCAATTGTATCCATACGCTGAAGAACCAGCTCAACAAACGTTTCTGTTGCCAGAAGAGCTCATGTCAAGAAGGTGCAATTGTCCGGTTTTCGTTCAATACGTTGTCTTCATGATGCAGTTACAAAGGCAGCGGCTTCACATTGTGATCCCTTTCTTCCGGTTCCTTCGTCTCGGGCTGGTCGTACCGATGGACTTTCTTGCGATACAAGGGGAGCAACTCCACCATGCCGGCAGGATAATAGCCATAGCGTTTTGGTGCCAACTTGCGCGATCTCGTCCAGCCAAAGGAGAAGCCTTGATCATCCACTCCGTGTTTTTGTTTCACGATCTGACCTGGAATACATTGAGCTAATGGTAATACCGCTCCATATGGCTAAACATTAACAAGTTTGCGTAGGTGTTTTGGGGATTGGGCATGTTGCTTTTGCGTCACTTCCGGGAAGGCAAAGCCAGGACAGTGTAATTGGAACTTTGCGACATACAAAACAATTAGAAGCGATTAAACTGTGTTTTTTGCCATTAAGGTTAGCATGTGTCTTATGACATCCTATTTTAAATATTTCTATAATATAATATAGTTAAACACAACATTGCGATGTTACTGTTATACCACTATAGCAATAGAGCTAAACTGACATGTCAAATAGCTGAGTACAATTCCACAATTAATGGTGATTTGGTATTATAGTTCAACAAGATGTCAGCGCCGAACACGTCCGCCTTTTGTGGGGTTGCTATGGAGCTGTATCGGATTATTATCTTGAGCATTTCGGATAAATAAATAATTATCGTTATTATTTTTCCATTTCATTATGTCCATCGAAACAATTGACAGTGCAGTGCGGTTAAATGCAAGTATATCTTAACCCATTGATGTATTGCCATCGAGGAATTGCAAATCAAACGTAATTTCGATCAATCGGCACACACTCAGTTTTGAAAAAGGATGTCCGCGTTTGTTGTTTAACACCGCACGCAGCAATACTCCTGGTGTATGAGGCCGGTCTGGACCAGACAATCCAGTGATCGACATTATGACCATCTATATACGCAATTGGGATACGATGAGATGCATCAACCAAGTTAGCGAGTCAGACCACTTGATCTCGTTTGTCGCTTCTTACGACAAGCATAACCGCCTTTTTACGGCAAGCATGGGTTGCTGAAGACCTATTTTACCCTGGATCATCACGGGTCCCCTTTCATTATCATATACATGCCCTGGTTGCATACACAACCAAAGCTTCATTACGGAAGTGACATCATGGGCATTGGTTGCTGAACACCAATTATAACCCGGATCCTCCCGGGGGCTCTGAAACTAACCTTGATCCAGGCTGATTTCCTTGGTGCTTCTGGCTTGGTAAGCATGCAGGGCTCGAACACGGACATTCGTCATGAGGCTGACCTCGTCGCTTTCACTGCTGCTGTCGCAGCTGCTGGAGCTCTGACTGCCATTGCTGCAGCCGCTGCTGTTGAGGCTGAGGTCGTCCAGGTCGCCGGGGACGTCTTCGAGGTCCTTCAAGCTTCTGAGGAGGTCACCGGGCGCCAGGGCAATGACTTGGGTCAGGGTGACCTCTTCGTCCTTCCTGAAGATCCTGCGGCGGAGCCCTATTGCCAAGATAGGTACTCATTGAAGCCTGTAGAGTGGTTTTTGTCAAAACTGGACTTCTCCTAATCCGAATTAGTCCTCCGATAATAGGTGAGTTGAAATTGGGTTTAACGTCGCGTCCAAGATTATTGCATTTATATAGAGACGTGCATGTACGTGTGTGTGTTTGTGTGTCTGCTTGTACTAGTCCGGACTGATGCCGATCTATAGTGCTAGCTCACTGAGATACCATGCCGCAGTTTAACATGAATACCCCACTCAGACACAGTATACTGACTCCGAGCCGACCAGTCCTTGTTTTAGGCCCCTAATGCCGAGCGCCAGACAGGGTAACAACAAGTACCATCTTTTAACGTCTTTTGGTATGACGCGGCCGGGGATCGAACCCCGGACCTTCCGCTCTCCGGGATGACGCTCTACCACTAGACCACGGAGGCGGTCCTCCTCCGATAATAAGTCGAAACAAAACGTTTTACACAGAACAATAGGAAGTACATCCAGACGAACATCTCTGTTAGCATAATGCTTATTGCAGGGATAAATGAAATCCAAATTCAGATTGATTTAGTTTATATTATCGTTCGCTATAGATTGTATGTCCAAATGCGTTGAGTGAGTGAGGGTGCTAGTGAATGAATGAGTGGTGCATGTCGTATCCAGTAGTAACACAGCAACTGTAGCAGGCATGACAACTAGTGGTCGATAGTGTGAGCACCACGGTTTAGGCCAACACGTCATAGTCTTGGTTTGTTTGTTGTTTAACGCCGCACTCGGCAATGTTTCTGCTATATGAAGGCGGTCTGCAAATAATCTAGTTTGGACCAGACAATCCAGAGATTGACATTATGAGCATCAATCTACGTAATTAGGATACGATGACATGCATCAGTCAAGTCAGCGAAGATGACCACCGGAACCCGTTAGTCGCCTCTTACGACAAGCATGAGATGCTGAAGGCCATTTCTAACTGGGATCTTCAGGGGTCGATATAGGCCATCACACTGAAGGCCATTATTAGAAATACAATCACGGTCAAGACCATCAACTGATAGTCACAGCCACCAGTGAAACTATCTACTTTTCAGGTCGTGAGAGTTGTTTTTTATTTTCATCTTACTCTGAAAATCATTGCCATTAAAGAAGACTGAAAGTTCAGGCTTAAAGTGTTCGTTCACTGGAATGAGATAAAAATAATATTATTTTCGCAGATAATACAGCAGTCATCGCTAAATACATAATATGAATTATTACAATGATCCACTTTACCTTTCCCAATTGACGTCAGGCGGCGTTCTGGAACATAAACGTTAATATAATATATTAAGTATTCGGATATTTACTAACATCACCTGAAGCCCAAGCAGGGATTATATATGCGTGCGTGCGTGCGTGCGAAATATAAAAATAGTAATAGAGTAATATACTGACAAGAAAAAGAAAGTATACACTTGAAAATTGGATTTGACCAAAAAACTACAAAGGCTATAAAATCGTTACTTGGATGGAAACAGTCGCAGAAACAGTGCAAATTTAAGCTCCAAAACAATACCATTTTCCCCGTTTCAAATACATTACCATCCTATTTCGTATTTGTTGCATTTTTAGCCACCATAAAAAATGCCCGGTTGTTTACATTTCACTTTCTTTCTTTGTTTGTTTGTTTGTTTGTTGTTTAACACCGCACAATGATCCTGCTTTTTGACGGCGGTCTGGAAATAGTCTGGACCAGACCATCTAGTGATTGACATCATGAACATCGATCTACGCAATTAGGATGACAACTCGATCCCATTAGTCGCCTCTGAAGGCACGCATTGGTTGCTGAAGAGCTATTCTAACCCGGATCTTCACATATGTAAAGGCTGAGATAAATAGCTCCGTGTAATAGCTTGACTTTTCGTCTTTCGAGGCTTGGGTAAAACCGCTATACCGTTAACTCTTACCTGCTGACGACACTGCGTCGTCTTCATCGTCGTCACTCTCGGCGCAGAAGTTGCGCACGTGGAAGGGTAGATGATGACGTGGTAGCTTTATCTTCTCCGGGGGCAGCACAAGTGACTCCAGTGATTGTGTGCTTCCTGTTGGGCAATCATTAGTGAATTCAAACCATTTACGATTCTGAATGTCAGCTCTATTTAATAGTGTTGTTGACCAGGATTAGAGATTGCGGAGTTCACAGAGACGCGATAGTCTACGAGGGATACACTAAAGTACTCACGGAAATGGAAAAAACCTGTTTTTCTCAATTTAAAAATCGACACAAAGTGTTACGTCGCTGTAAATACGAAATAACAAAACAACTCGAAAAGTACTAGTCTGGATTTGCTAGTTTGATCTCAGTGAACAATACAAAATGTACTTTACAGGAGGTAATTTGTCGTCACTTTCAACATTCAAAAATAAAACTAAGTCCAAATTGACATAGCAGAAACAGACTATAGGCATTATGCACCTGTTCTCACCTGTCGTCAAGGTGTCATAGGTCATGGACATTCACCTTGATCTACTTACACCTGGTTATGCCCTGTTTCACAATAGTCTGTTTTATTCACATTTTTACACACTTTTACTTGTAAAAAGGCATAAAAACCTTTGATACGCTGTATTTGTGCCAAGGCCCAATTAGTATTTATTGAGTTGTTTGAATATTTACATATTTTGTATATTAACTGCATTTATTTAAGATCTGAGGTCGAAAAAACAGGTTTTTTTCATTTCCGTGAGTACTTTAGTATACAAAAGTGAGTGGATGATAAGGTTTTAACTCTGTCACTATGCTACTGACAAGACCAAGGATCCTTATAGACACATCCACGGCCAAGGGACATAACTTTTCACAGCGAATTGCGGTGCCTTGGACCAACGCCCCTGTACTTATGTACATTAATGATACGTTAAATACACACGTATACGAAGGAATAAAGCCATTTTACTCCTGCAAAACAGCTACATATTGTTCATACCACGAGTTTCCAGGGCGCCAAAGTGTGCCCGTACCATACCTTACCGTACCATACCTGTCCGTGCCATACCTGCCCGTGTCATACCTGTCCGTGTCATACCTGTCCGTGCCATACCTTAGCGTGTCAAACCTGCCTGTGCCATACCTGACCGTGTCATGCCTGACCGTTTAATACCTGGCCGTGTCATACCTGACCGTGTCATACCTGCCCATACATACCTGACCGTGTAATACCTGACTGTGCCATACCTGACCCTGTCATACCTGCCCGTGCGATACCTTCCCTTTCATAAACATATAATAATAAAAAAAATAAAAAATACATGTACTATATTTGAAAACTGACCGAAGCTCTTTGACACTGTTGGGATGGGGCTTCCAGCCTTGGCGAGCACGGAGTCGTTGGACGAGGAGATGAATACGTTCATGGTGTCGGTGCTAGGGCTAGGCTTCACCACTTGGTCAGGGGCCCCAGTTACCTCTGTGACGTATTCGTTGGCCCGATCATGACCACCCGTCTCTGTGACGTATTCGCTGGCCCGATCATGACCACCCGTCTCTGTGACGTATTCGCTGGCCCGATCATGACCACCCGTCTCTGTGACGTATTCGTTGGCCCGATCATGACCACCCGTCTCTGTGACGTATTCGCTGGCCCGATCATGACCACCCGTCTCTGTGACGTATTCGCTGGCCCGGTCATTCCAAGCTGGATGGGTGGTTGTCAGGTCGGCCTGATTCGCACCCCGAGCCGGACGAGTACTGGTCAAGTCCTGGCTAGCACCCCCAGCCGGACGAGTGCTGGTCAAGTCGTCTTGGCAAGCACCCCCAGCCGGACGAGTGCTGGTCCAGTCGTCTTGGCAAGCACCCCCAGCCGGACTAGTTCTGGTCAAGACGTCTTGGCAAGCACCCCCAGTTGGACGTGTGAGGTACTCGCTGACCAGGTCTTCCGGTCTCGCACACCCAGCCGACTGTGAAAGGTAATCATTGACTAGGTCTTCCTGTAGAGACTGGATCTTCAACAGGTGGTTCACACGTGCTATCTGGGAACCGCCACACTGAGACGTCTCCGGTACAGACCTGAAATAATTTCGTCACCCGTTATAAGAGGTTAGGTGAAATGGGGTTTAACGTCGTGTCCAAGATTATTGCACTTATATAGCGACGTGCATGCACGTGTGTGTGTGTGGCTGCTTTTACTAGTCCGGACTGATGCCGATTTATAGTGCTAGCTCACTGAGATACCATGCCGCAGTTTAACATGAATACCCCACTCAGACACAGTATACTGACTCCGAGCCGACCTGTCCTTGTTTTAGCCCCTTAATGCTGAGCGCAAGACAGGGTAACAACAACTATCATCTTTTAACGACTTTTGGTATGACGTGGCCGGGGATCGAACTCCGGACGCTCTACCACAAGACCACGGAGGCGGTCTTTTAATCAAGGTGCTCACTTGATTTGATGCAGTTTGCAGTGTAAGACCCGTTTTATCACAATATAGATCTTCATTATCGATCAGAGCGTCCTGACTAGGCGCCACCATTTTGTGTGAAGCAAACGCAAGCGATACGAGAGGTGGAATCTGATTGGTCCATTGGCGAGGCGTAGAAGGGACATAACTGGTAACAGCCACTGGTGGCGCTACGATCGAGCCCAGTACTTCCAGCCTACTTCGGCAAGGGTGGAAACTGGACTTTTAAAGTCAGTTAACTCCCTTGCCTCGGGAAGATGGGGTGACACCAGAAAATGGTACTACTGGCAAGCCATGATAAGTTGAGTTGTGATCGTACTATTAACCCCGCATGACTATGTATGAGGTCTGCCCACTGGCGCCTACCAATATGAAGTAAGGGGTAGCAGGTGGTCCGCGACAAGTAGTACGATGGATATGTGTGTGTTCTGTCTCGGCTAACAAGGAGTTCTAAAGCGACTTCAACAGCACATAATAGGTCGTGCTGATGTGAGGTACCCGATGACTGAAAAGGTTGAAAACAACTGACCAGTATGTTTTTAATGAAGGGAATAAATTTGTTGCAAATATATCATGTACGCGTGGTTGCAAATATCTTGTCGTGGGAAGGACAACCCTCTCACCCCACAATCGAGTCCTCCCGGAGAGTGTTGATATTCTGCGGACAAACTGGAGACGGGGAGCTCGGCCGGAAGCGGCAGGTATCAGGATCGGGTGCGCGCGGACGAGTACGAGGACCTTCACTTCCGGTCGATTGTTTTCCCTCTCTGTCCGTCAATCCATACACCAGGTCCTTCATAGAAAAGACGGAATGCTTGTAAGTTTTAACATTGTTGTCACAGTGACGCTGAACCAAGATTTCAAATGTAATTATAACACAGTAATATCAATATATATGTAATTTTACGAGCGTGGATTTCTCTCAATCACTCGCCATGGGTGAGTCCTCCGGTCTGCCAATTCATGACTAACTCGCCTGAGGTGAGTCTCACAATAACTGACTCCCCGTAGGTGAGTTTCTCAATCAATCTCCAACTCGGACCGTGAAGATCCGGGTAAGAATAGATCTTCAGCAACCCATGCTTGTCGTATGAGGCGACTATGCTTCGGTTGATGGTCTTTACCGTGATGGTATTTCCAGTAATGGCCTTCAGTGTGATGGCCTTTTTCGACCCGTGAAGATCCAGGTCAGAATTGATCTTCAGCTGCCCATGCTGGTCGTAAGAGTAGAATAAAGAAATCGGGTGGTCAGGCTCGCTGACTTGGTTGGTGCATGTCATCGTATCCAAATTGCTTGGATCGATGCTCATGACGTCACTCTCTGGATTGTCTGTTCCAGACTCGTCATATAGCTGGAATATTGCTGAGTGCGGCGTTAAACAATAAATAAAGAAACTAAACAAACGAACTCGGATAAGGTAAGTCTAGCAATGAATCAATAACTCGCCTTTATCACTTAGATCACTGACTAAATCAACTGTCTCCAGTAGCGTGTCTCACCTGCAAGGTGAAGCGAGCAGCGCCATCCGCCATCACCACCTGCAGCACCCTTTCCCTCAGCACCGACAGCATCTTATCCGACAGCGTTGTCTCGGGGACGGTCGACAACATAGCTCTACAGTCATCCAACGTCAGCTTCTTAGCTTCCCTAATATAACATGTTAACATAATTCTACATCTAAACAACGAATAATTGTGATTATTTCGATGGATTAAAATATAAAAGACATCGGTTGACTTAGAAGCCGCGGAGGTGAGTATTTGAATAAAGTTCTGTTCGGTTACCGATTACGTCAAGAATCACGTTGAGCCATCCCTCGCACCTGCTTTCGGAAGTCTCGTGTTCAGCGAGAGTGAGTATGAACATCCGGGTTAGCTCCACGGTATCACACAGCCGGCGATGGGAGAACAGATTCAAATCCGACTGGATGGTCTCAAGGGACTAAAAAGACAAAAATGTCATGATCGACAGGGTGTTTGGGACATTTGCGAGAAGCAGCTTCAACCATGTGCGCAATTACATTTCTATCGATAAATAATATGATTATATACATTCACACATTTTACAATAAGTCGACGCAGGTGTTATAAATGGTCCGACCAACCTATTCCAACGCAGGTCTTCATGGGTCGGAAAGAATGAGTCGATTCAGTTGACTCGATTATTTACAGACCGCCGTCATAAAGCTGGAATAGGGCTGAGTGCGGCGTTAAAAATCAAACAGCTTTCCGATTAACAACTAATTTATTGTAGCCCAGTCGTCTAATTATAAGGCGCCGCAATTCGCCATGCAGAGATGCGTTCCTTGGGCACGCCGGAAACCTATGATCGTGGGTTCGAATCCCGGTTCGCCCAGATTATGTTCCTAGGTTTGTCAGCACCATACCCGTGCTCGTGGGTTTCACCGAAGTGGTAAACGTCTGAGACCTGCCTCACTTCAGGCTTTCCTCCCACATTAAGCTGACACGCCGTGACATAACTGGAATACTGTTAAAAACGGCGTTAAACCAAGCTCACTCACTCACTCACTCACATAGTTGTGTACGACGGCATCAGCCGCGTCTGTTCACTCACTCACTATTTATAAGCGAGTGAATGAATGTTGTTTTAGGCCAGAAGTATCCCGGCTACAACATGGCGGTCTGTACATTATCGTGTCTCTGACTGAACACCTACCTCCCTCTGAGCTTTGACATAAGCTCGTAACTCGTTCTCTTGTTCTTTCAGCTGCGACTGTTGCACGTCCGAGTACCTCTGTAGATGGTACTGCCGGGATTCCAGCGTCTCCATCTTCCTCGCCGACAGGGGGCGTGGTGTGTTGCGGCGCCGCCTACCGTCCAACTTCTCATTCATATCACGTGACGCGGATAATGCATATTCATATTGCTGTTGAAAATAAAGCTCAGTTAAGGCCAACACGATTCATTTTCTCGGTTTACAAGCCAATCACACCTTGCACACTGAATTCTCCCCTTTTCCAGTTTTTGTTCAGAGATTAATGTTTCAACGGTTCCTTTTTTCTAGATAAGCCTTAAATCCACTCTGGTGACATGGTATACATCTTCCCGAGGCAAGAGAGTTAACTGACTTTAAAAGTCCAGTTTCCACCCTTGCCGAACTAGGCTGGAATTACTGGGCTCGATCGTAGCGCCACCAGTGGCTATTACCAGTTATGTCCCTTCTACGCCTCGCCTTGCCGTAAAAGGTGACTATGCTTGTCGTAAAAGGCGACTAACGGGATCGGGTGGTCAGGCTCGCTGACTTGGTTGATGCATGCCATCGATCCCAATTGCGTGGATCGATGCTCATGATGTCAATCACTGGATTGTCTGGTCCAGACTCGATTATTTACAGACCGCCGTCATATAGCTGGAATATTGCTGAGTGCAGCGTCAAACAACAAACCAACTATGGACCAATCAGATTCCACCTCTCTTATCGCTTGCGTTTGCTTCACACAAAATGGTGGCGCCGAGTCAGGACGATCTGACCGATAATCAAGATCTATATTGTAATAAAACGGGTCTTACATCGCGAAATGCATCAAATCAAGTGAGCACCTTGATTAAAAACATGAAAAGATTTGGAAAATATCTGCTGACAACGAGTTGGCGGTGCTCATGTTTTGCAAATCCTGCAATCGACCGAAATCTGCACGACAGTTTACGAACCGGATTTCGATTTCGGTGTTGCGATTTTGATTGGACTATGCATAGACTCGTTTGTCCAGCCAAAATGTAACTCCATAATACCAGCCTAGTTCGGCAAGGATGGAAACTGGACTTTTATAGTCAGTAAACCCCCTTCCACGGGAAGATGCATGGTATATTTTGAATGCTAATTTTGCCCCTTGGCACATTGTCCGTTAAAAGTCACATGGAAAGTGGTCAAACCTGAGAAGAATAGATTTTATGTCTTCACATTCACATGTCTCTCAATCAGTGTGTGAAATAAGCATTTCGCCAGGCTGGCTTCAGGACTTACAGACTTTAGAAGATGCAGGCCCAAACTAAACTCTTCAGGTCCTCATTAAAAAACTGCAGCTTATTGTGACAAATAAACAGACACGTGAATTATCTGCAGACCGTGAGGACCCATACACATTTTAAACTACGGTCCCGACGCGAGATCTACCTGTCACGAGCCATGGGGCAAGCGCTTATTTCAAACACTGCTCTCAATGACTCTCTTACAGTATGACACTTTTAACTGTCTGCGATACCATCACAACATGCATCAGATATTCGTAATTAGTCACGTAAGACAGTCCCGGTCGTGGTGCACAGAGTAAAGTTAAGAAGACGACTCACGTGGGGGGGTTCAAACTTATTGAAGCGAACGTAAAATATTCCGAAAATCACACATCATTGCTGCACGCTGGGCCATGTGTGAGATGTATTATTTCGGCAATAGCACATGGCAGTTAAACGTTTCTTCTCTTAATTTAAAAATATATATATATCTTACAGAGTATCCTCATGAGTCCAATGAGAACGTCTACACAGGGACAGCTCTCCAGTTCAATCTCCACTAAGTTTGCAAACTTAACAAATTTCAAATTCCAAGCTTCTGTGCATACTGTTAATTATAATAGAGCGAATAAGCACTCACCAAATAAGCCGAAATAACTTTTTTTCCGCAACAACAGCGAGCCTGACCACCCGATCCCGTTAGTCGCCTCTTACGACAAGCTTGGTCGCCTTTTACGGCAAGCATGGGTTGATGAAGACCTATTCTACACCGGATCTTCACGGGTCCCAACTGGACTGTTTTCTGTTTCAATGAGTTTGTTTATTGTTTATAATTTCTTATAGCTCGTGATTTAGAAAAGAAACAAAGCCTTGGGGGGGGGGGGGGGGGATTTCGTTTCTTGTATATTCCGATTATGCCATATACACACTTAAAGGAAAATGAAGCTTTTACCATGTATTTGTTTGTTTGTTGTTTAACGCCGCACTCACCAATTTTCAATCTATATGACGGCGGTTTGTACGTAATCGTGTCTCTGGACCAGACAATCCAGTGATTGACATCATGAGCACCGATCCACGCAATTGGGATCGATGACATGCATCAACCAAGTCAGCGAGCTTTTACCATGGTTCGTTAAACTGGACATTTGCTAGTCCGACAGGTAGATGTCAAAGAGTATCAGGTCCTGTAGTGAAATTGTTCCGTGGACTATTTTCTCTACGATAATTTGTCTCCAGTACATTTACACTGGCAGTATGTATACTTGACGGAACTACTTCCACGTGAGACTGATCATCGTTGACATAGATTGCACCGGATTAACTAGATTTTACTATATGAAGATGAAATATCCAAGCAAAATTTTTAAAATGATAAAAAATGGCCTAATCGTAAAACTGGTAATAACTGTTAATTTATTTATCAAACCTGTTTCTTCCGTCGGACCTCCCTCTCAAGCTCCTGACGCCGGTTCACTTTCGCTTGGAACTGTAGCACTGCTGCCGAGTACACACGGTTTGTATCGGAGACCATGATCCGTTCCTCCAAATCCCTGCAGAAGTGGTGAGTGTGTCAGTTTAAACAAGTCATCAATGTGTCCATGTATGTCAACATGTCATCAATTTCTTATGAAAATCACGTATTTGATTGGATATGCAAGTGTACGAGTGAGTGGGAACTTTATATATTTTCTTACGAATAACTTCAATATTTTGCCTTTATTTGAACGAAGCGGATATACGCAGTGTTCACAAAGGTTTTTTCAGTTATTAGTTGTTTATCGTACAATAAAACGCTGCGGGAGAATGAACCATGAGGGCGCGGTCCCGAGTGGTTTATTCTTCCTGCAGCGTTTTATTGTACGATAAAGGGGGCACGGGTGGCCCAGTCATCTTGGCGCCGCGATTCGCTGTGCAGAGTTGCGTCCCTTGGGCACGCCAGAAATCTATGATTGTGGGTTCGAATCCCGGTTCGCCCCGATAATGTTTCTAGGTTTGTCAGCACCATACCCGTACTCGTGGGTTTCACTGAAGTGGTAGACGTCTGAGACCTGCATCACTTCGGGCTTTCCTCCCACATTAAGCTGACCCGCCGTGATATAACTGGAATGCTGTTAAAAGCGGCGTTAAACCCAACTCACTCACTATTGTACGATAAACAACGACCACGAGTCGTTTATTTCTTATATGAGCTATCAACATTATGTACAGCCTCTTTAAGGTTCTTGATAAAATGTGCAAGCTTAAAAAATATTTACTTAAATTTTGATAATAATGACTCCCTGAATATTATCCGACCTCGGAAATGTCGGACACGTCCATTTTACGAACAGGTGGTACAATTTTGTATTTCTCGCATACTCTCATAATACGCACATCAATCATCTGTACCTTTTCTCTTAATACCGATTGACAATGTCATATCTCTCCCACTTTTGGATGCGAGTCACTCGCCCACCGCGATTATCTGCGTCGACCTCTCTGATAAAAAAAAATCCATTTCCACTTTCCCAAAAGATTATACAGTAAACCACGGTTATAACGAACACGCTTATAACGAACTGACGGATATAACGAACTTATTTTTTGGTCCCGACTATCTGCTGTAGTTATGCTGTATATATGCTTATAACGAACTACGGTTATAACGAACTAAAATTAGTAGTCCCTTTGAGTTCGTTATAACCGTAGTTTACTGTATTGCCAAACAATGTTGTATCAGTTCTAGTTTACTCCGCTTTTTAAAAATTCATAAATTATTTGAAACGGAATTTGGTATACCTAGGGCATTCAAGAAAATAATGAAAAGAATTTCAACTTTCTGAAGCACAAGACCAGATGTTTTAGATGTTCAAGATGCCTTGAGTCCCTTGCTGGGACTGTTCTTTTCTCTCGGCCCGGCAATAGTCGACGTCGAGACCGCACTTACTGCACTCGCTTCCGCAACTGGAGACAGGGCCCGTCTGCACGAAGGATATCGTTGTATAACTTCTGATGAAGGCTAGCCTGTGCCTTCGCCTCACGTGCTGGAGTAACCAACAGGTTTTGCACTTCCGGTTGGAACGGAGATCCTGGATGGACGAGACATCACTCTTGATGCATGGTGTACAGGGGTTTAAACATTTGGCGTTGAAAATACATTTGTAACGATGTCTACCAACTAGTTCTGTAGTTGGTTGGTTTGTTGTTTAACGCCGCACTCAGCAATATCAGCTATATGATGGCTGTCTGTAAATAATCGAGTCTGGACTAGACAATCCAGTGATTAATATCATGCGCATCGATCCACGCACTTGGGATCGATGACATGCATCAACCAAGTCAGCGAGCTTGACCACCCGTTCCAATTAGTCTCCTTTTACGACAAGCATAGTCGCCTTTTACGGCAAACACGGGTTGCTAAGGACCTAATCTACCCCGGATCTTCACGGGTCTAGTTCTGTAGTATTTGTAATACAACGACGCATTTCTTGTGCGTATATTCATGATATTGTACCATGCATTCACCTGGCAGGGTACCCGGTAGGGTCCGAGTAAGAATTGGTCTTTAGCAACCCATACTTGTTGTAAGAGGCGACTAACGGTCAAGCTCGCTGATTTGGTTGATGCATGTCATCGCATCCCGATTGCGAAGATCGATGCTCATGATGTCTTTCACAATGTTGTTTGGTCCAGATTCGATTATTTACAGACTGCCGTCATATAGCTGGAATATTGCTGAGTGCGGAGTTAAACAACAAACAAATAAACAAACAAACAAACAGAGACACCTGGCAGGGAACAAGGCCTGTCGTTTTCGCCACAAGCAGCAATGTTTCAGTTATAGACTCCGTCGTAGTGTTAACTTTACGGTACATTATACACATAATTATACACATTAATTATCCGCCATCTGCACCTCGTCCCTCCTACCACTAAATGCTCCACTGCGAGTGTGTGTGTGCATGCGTGCGTGCGTGCGTGCGTGCGTGTGTGTGTGTGTGTGTGTTAAGTATGTGGCGCCACCTACCATCCTTGCTGACCCCCTGGACAAGCGCCCCCGCCCACTTCTCCAGACTGTTGATGTACGCCAGCTCCACCCTGCCCCTCTCCCACATCATCTCCTGCACGAACTGCTGGCATCTGGGGGTAGAGATGTAGACAGTCAGTGGGGTGCGACGTCAGCAAATGCCCTGATCAATTAGCTTTATCTGGTCTTTTGTTATTGTAATGTATTCTTTGTTGCATATATACCAAAATGAAGAGCAGAAGTAATTTAATATGATGTCCAGTAACGAATTTAGATGCTTCAACATGATAGAGATGCATCAGTCTCCACGGCCGAGGCAGTTCAAGTAAAGGCTTACCTTCAGTTAGCCTATAGTGAGTGAGTGAGTGAGTTTGATTTTACGCCGCTTTTAGCAATATTCCAGCAATATCACGGCGGTGGACACCAGAAATGGGCTCCACACATTGTACCCATGTCGGGAATCGAACCCGGGTTTTCAGGCGTGACGAGCGAACGCTTTAACCACCAGGCTACCCGACCGCCCCGTTAGCCTATAGGGTTGCACCTGTTTGCCAAATCGCCTTGTTTGGGAACCAAGTAAAAGTGGAAGCTACTCCAGAGAAATATTATGACCTTTTGGGCGTGTCCAGTGCAGTTTTGACACATATTTGCTGAACATTTATGAAACGCATTTAAAAACTAGAGGCACCCATACAGAGCTACAGATAATTAAGCAGCGTATTTGCGTACCAGCCCCGCCCCCCCCCCCCCCCCCCCCAAAAAAAAAAAATAAATAAAATAAATAAATAAATAAAAATAAAATAAATAAAATAAAAATAAAATAAAATTAAAATAAATATATAAAAATAAAATAAAAAAATAATTTATTTTAAAGTAAATAGATAATAATAATAATAATAATAATAATAATAATAATAATAATAATAAATAAATATTAAAAAAATTAAGAAATACTCAAACCCAATTAATATCAATTAACTTGCGTACAGAAACGCATGCATTAAATGAAAAACTCAAATTTATAAAAACAACACACGTAAATACCCAATGAAGCTTTTTCAGCATGCGTACGAAGGAGCTAATTTCCGAAGCACAATTACGAGCTAATTTACATTATTTCCCTTTTTTTAAATCTTAAAATGTTCGCTAATTTTGGGAAAAACCCAATAGAGTGATGAATAGATGAGTGAAACATTATTGGTTACCCAATGAAAAATTTAATAACTCAATTAGAATAGAAACCCTAGAGTAAAAACTCAATTACTTAAAAAGTTATCTGGAGCTCTGTCCATGTTTCCCCCCAGAATACGAAGACTGTGCTCTTCGGGCCAGTGTGGGATAATCACGTAAACTGAAAACACACACTAAGAATGTCACGTCGACGCGTCATTTTAGGCCAAACCAGGGACTTGCGCAAAGCGGTCTTATTGCTACGATTATTGTAAGTTTACGTTAATGTACGATCGTTTTGTGCAAATGGACCTTGAAACATAATACTTGTTTTGGGCTTAGAAATAGATATTGTTTCTACGAAACTTACGTCACAACACATTTATTCACTTGGTAAAATGTTGTTACAGATAATGCCTTGTCCTTGAGCATTGCAGCAGGTAATGGCCACAGATACCCGAACAGAACAAATGATAGCGAGAGGCATGACGTACCTCCATAGATGAAGCTTACAAATTTACACTTAGCACAAAGACAAAGAGGAACGTGATTCAATTCACATTTGTATGACTTCTTGGAATTATGCGATCGGCCAGCACGGGCAGGAGAAAGTGAGTGAGTGAGTGAGTTTGGTTTTACGCCGCTTTTAGCAATATTCCAGCAATGTCACGGCGGGGGACACCAGAAATGGGCTACCCATGTCAGGAATCGAACCTGGGTCCTCGGCGTGACGAGCGAACGCTTTAACCACCAGGCTACCCGACCGCCCCCGGCAGCATTAAGCCTTTCATTATGTATGTTCGCGATGAGACGGTGAAATTATTCCAATGGAGAGATTTGGTAAACACTGAGAAAAGTTATGAATACACAATGCCATTTAGAAAGTGGTCAAATGTAACTAATGTTATACTTGGGATAACACTTTCTTAGTAAAGTACAGATTCTAGTACTATTTGTGGTTGAGTCCCATTGAGTCAGCGATCTGACGAATTATTGTATCTCAGCCTAAACACCACCTGAACTCTCCATATCCATTGGTGTCTAAACATGTTTAGGATCGTGTTTGAAATCTAAACATGTTTATGAGACAATTAACATTTAGGTTCGTGTTTCGGATCTAAAAAAAATGTAACGTGCACGTGGAATTGTATTCTATCCTGTAATGATCTTTTCGGCTTGACATAAAAAGTGATTTGTAGATTATTGCGAATTATTGTCATTTAATTTATTCGGATGAAACGCTTTAACCCATTTCTCATGATATTAATACATTTATCATCCTGAGGATTTATATATATTTGCTGTAGCGACATGCTTTATGAATTAGACTGCAACACTACTTGTAAGTATTTGTCTGAATCGACACAAATTTTACAATAAAGAAAATAAATCAAAATTGAATTGATACATTCCCCTTACTTTTTGGCGCTTTCGTGATGACGTATTGTTTCTTGAACCAGGAGCCAGGTGAACTTGTCCGTCTCCTCCGCCATGGCGCCGCGGTGTCTGTGACGTCACTCTGACGTCACGTCATTGTTTACGTCAGAATTGACAGCCACGTTCGTGGTTATGATAAATCATCAATATTTATAAATCTTGATATTTAAACACATTGAGATTAAATAATGTTGCGCCGAGACTTTATGTAATTAAAGCAATGGCGCAATGTACGTGTCCATGCTTAATATCTTAATTACTTCACGGACCTAATACAAATATAGGTCCGTGATCAGAGTAAGAGTAAGTTAGATATATATATAATACCTATATATTCCTTTTGGGTTAAGGGTTAACAGAAAAATTCATTAGTTTAAAACTCTATATCTGTAGATGAAAACTCATTTGGCACATCAAATATCATCACCAATAACGGAAAGAACCGAATATTCCCGAGCGGTTGTTGATTAGAGTGACCTCCCTTCGTGGTCACATGTTGATCAAAAGCTGTCTGCTTGCAGGAAATAATTTGCTATTTATCATGCAACCTATATTTTCGACTGATTTGACCGCCGTTTGCACGATATGAAGTGAAGTATACTTTTGATTGTTACTATTGCATCTGAAAATGACAGTCATTTCTTGATTTCTACGACGTGACGGAAGTTATCAACTGGTTATTTCGACATTTTTGACAAGCCGATCAGGCCAGCTGATTAGTGATCTCGCTTCTAAGATTGCGGGTCACAGGATCAGAATCGTGTCAATGTCACGTACGGTTCATCTCTAACTTTAGACCGATTTGCTGCCTGGCCTTGCCCAATATGCAACAAATGAGAAACTGGGTAGGTTTCATTTCAAAACATTATTCAGTGTATTCAGAAATTTTAAAAATCGATATTGGTATTGTTGTTTTGATAACATTAATTTGTTTGTTTATTCTTTAACGCCACACTCAGCAATATTCCAGTTATATGATGGCGGTCTGTAAATAATCAAGTCTGGACCAGACAATCCAGTGATTGACATCATGAGCATCGATCCAGGCAATTGGGATATGATGACATGCATCAACCAAGTCAGCGAGCCTGACCACCCGATCCCATTAGTCGCCTCTTACGACAAGCGTAGTCGCATGGGTTGCTGAAGACCTATTCTGACCCGGATCTTCACAAGTAACTTACATTAATTATTATTGATGATAGTAATATTGTTGATGACATTTAATAAATCGTCATCAGTATTATAATTTTATATATTTCTGTGTTTATTAAACTGATAATAGGCATATCTGCAGCAAGTATTCAGCATGGTTGTTTTCGATGACTATTGGGCCTTGTAATGTGGGATTCTGCATTTCTGGGTTAGAATAGGCTTCTAGAAACTAGGGCTGGGACAGGGTACTTGTGTTGGGTGTGTCCTGATGGTGAAGGACCCATGTACCCACAGGACTACCCCCATGTACCCACAGGACTACCCCCATGTACCCACAGGTACTACCCCCATGTACCCACAGGACTACCCCCATGTACCCACAGGACTACCCCCATGTACCCACAGGACTACCCCCATGTACTCACAGGTACTACCCCCATGTACCCACAGGACTACCCCCATGTACCCACAGGACTACCCCCATGTACCCACAGGTACTACCCCCATGTACCCACAGGACTACCCCCATGTACCCACAGGACTACCCCCATGTACCCACAGGTACTACCCCCATGTACCCACAGGACTACCCCCATGTACCCACAGGACTACCCCCATGTACCCACAGGACTACCCCCATGTACCCACAGGTACTACCCCCATGTACCCACAGGTACTACCCCCATGTACCCACAGGTACTACCCCCATGTACCCACAGGACTACCCCCATGTACCCACAGGTACTACCCCCATGTACCCACAGGACTACCCCCATGTACCCACAGGTACTACCCCCATGTACCCACAGGACTACCCCCATGTACCCACAGGACTACCCCCATGTACCCACAGGTACTACCCCCATGTACCCACAGGACTACCCGGACCTGTAGTTTGTCTCAGATGTGATACATTGTTTAATAACAATAACAATAAAACTCCATGGTTAGACTACAAGTCGCTAATGGTCACATTTCTTCCGACTTTTTATATTTTTGAGTGAAGATAAATCTTCACTCAACTTCAGTGTATTTATGATCTGATTGTTTTATATAAATATCTAAATAGTTTCTGCCAGCCCTTGGACTGTTGGACATTTTCTACCGAACTCTTGAGACCTACAGTGTGTATGCGGGTAGGGTTGGGTAATAGGGGTCGGGTTCCCGGGTAGTAAATTTGGATGCATCCCAGCCCTACTAGAAACCCATGCAAGACATATGCAAGAAACCTATGCTCTGTGACTTGGTTGATTGTTTAATCAGAGCTATACATAAGCAGCGTATTTACGTAAAATATCCCCCCCAAAGTATTCAAAACCCAATTACTTTCAATAAACTTACGTACAGAAACACATGCATTAAATGACAAACTCCAATGTATAAAAACAGCACACGTGAATACCGTATGAAGTTTTTTCAGCATGCGTACAAAGGAGCTAATTTCCAATACTCATTTACTTTCCGAGTCAATCCTATGTATTTAGAATCTTAATGTACATCTAAAACATTATTTAATTTTTTGTAAAATCTTAAACTGTTCACTCATTTTTGGAAAAACACAATATAGGTATGAATTAATGACTGGATAAATATTGGTTACCCAATGAAAAATGTAATAACCCAATTAAAAATGAAACCTTGGGTAAAAACTCAATTGCTCCGGAGCACTGTTTAATCTAGGCCTGATAATTAACAGGTCGCCACGAAGTAGTGCATGGTGTAAAACAACAAACTAACTTTATGCGCATCCAACTAGTGTCACACCAGTACTCACAGATGTTAATTTTACAATTTGTTTTTTCCACATTTCGATAGTCATGCTACTAAAATTGTAGTAATTACTGTGTTTTTCAATCTCATTAAAATCAGATCTTAGTTCTCGCCATCACTTAACAAAGATCTGAGGACATCCCATTATGGGTCACGTCAGAACGACCTTTCATCCGACCAATCAAAGTGTCGCTTACGAGATCATGAAAGTGACAGTCGGAATGTGTTTTCTGATCATGCAACCTTGAAAACGTTGACACAAGGTATCCCGAACGACAGTTACAGCCCGTAGGACTGATTCCGTCAAGTGTCTCTCGCTTCTGTGGGATAAAGAATTGAACGGAGGAGGCATTGCACAGTACGTGGGAAGCACTGCCATACAATCACAACCAAATATTAGACATTCCGGAATGTTGGTTTGTTCAGTTTTCAAAATTTTAATGGAGAACTGTGTCAACATATTTTTCAAGCGTGGTCTGAAATGGAAGTCGCCAGGTTGAAATGAGTCCCGTAAAGCTCGAGAAAGCTGCTTTCTTATTGGCTGATATCGATTTCTTGTTATTCGTTTCAGTGGTCGGTCAAAGTTCGCGAAAGGTCGTTCTGACGTGACCCGTAAGGGGATGTCCTCAGATCTTTGTTTAGTGGCACCGACAACTCAGATCTGATTTTAATGAGATTTTGTGTTTTTTAGAGTCATGGAGAATATATATGAACATTCAGATAGACTCTTAATAATCTGTTTTACTGTTAGAAATTGCAATAATGTTACAAGTTGCAAGGAAACCTGGATAAGTGATATGGGATAGAGTGTGTGTGTGAGTGTGTGTCTGTGTGTGAGTGTGTGTCTGTGTGAGTGTGAGTGGTGTGTCTGTGTGTGAGTGTGTGTCTGTGTGTGAGTGTGTGTCTGTGTGAGTGTGAGTGTGTGTCTGTGTGTGAGTGTGTCTGTGTGTGAGTGTGTGTCTGTGTGAGTGTGTGTGTGTCTGTGTGTGAGTGTGTCTGTGTGTGAGTGTGTGTCTGTGTGAGTGTGTGTGTGTCTGTGTGTCTGTGTGAGTGTGAGTGGTGTGTCTGTGTGTGAGTGTGTGTCTGTGTGTGAGTGTGTGTCTGTGAGTGTGAGTGTGTGTCTGTGTGTGAGTGTGTGTGAGTGTGTGTCTGTGAGTGTGAGTGTGTGTCTGTGTGTGAGTGTGTGTGAGTGTGTGTGTGTGTCTGTGTGTCAGAGGGAGTGGGAGGTGTACAAACCTATTTAATAAATTTCATCAGTTCCCCCCTTGACTAAAGTAGATCGTCTTATTGGTGTACCTCAATGACAACATGTAGGCAACGTTTCTACTTTGCAGATAGGATTGTTTCTCCTTGGAACAATCAACAATCTGCCGTATGTCATCGTCAACTCCGCCGCCAGTACTATTGCCGACAGGTAAGTTGACAACGATCACGTATGTCATCGTCAACTGCGCCGCCAGTACTATTGCTGACAGGTAAGTTGACAACGATCACGTATGTCATCGTCAACTCCGCCGCCAGTACTATTGCCGACAGGTAAGTTGACAACGGTCATGTATGTCATCTGCAATTTCTGGGGTCCTGGGTTAGAATAGGTCCCAAGCACTCTATTGATTATCACACCATAGAGACCCGGGTTAGAATAGGTCCCCAGCACTCTATTGATTGTCACACAATTGGCACCCGGGTTAGAATAGGTCCCTAACACTCTATTGATTGTCACACCATAGAGACCCGGGTTAGAATAGGTCCCTAACACTCTATTGATTGTCACACCATAGAGACCCGGGTTAGAATAGGTCCCTAACACTCTATTGATTGTCACACCATAGAGACCCGGGTTAGAATAGGTCCCCAGCACTCTATTGATTATCACACCATAGAGACCCAGGTTAGAATAGGTCCCCAGCACTCTATTGATTATCACACCATAGAGACCCGGGTTAGAATAGATCCCCAGCACTCTATTGATTGTCACACCATAGAGACCCGGGTTAGAATAGGTCCCCAGCACTCTATTGATTATCACACCATAGAGACCCGGGTTAGAATAGATCCCCAGCACTCTATTGATTTTCACACCATAGAGACCCGGGTTAGAATAGGTCCCCAGCACTCTATTGATTATCACACCATAGAGACCCGGGTTAGAATAGGTCCCCAGCACTCTATTGATTGTCACACCATAGAGACCCGGGTTAGAATAGGTCCCCAGCACTCTATTGATTATCACACCATAGAGACCCAGGTTAGAATATGTCCCCAGCACTCTATTGATTATCACACCATAGAGACCTGGGTTAGAATAGATCCCCAGCACTCTATTGATTGTCACACCATAGAGACCCGGGTTAGAATAGGTCCCCAGCACTCTATTGATTATCACACCATAGAGACCCGGGTTAGAATAGATCCCCAGCACTCTATTGATTGTCACACCATAGAGACCTGGGTTAGAATAGGTCCCCAGCACTCTATTGATTGTCACACCATAGAGATCAGGGTTAGAATAGATCCCCAGCACTCTATTGATTGTCACACCATAGAGATCCGGGTTAGAATAGGTCCCCAGCACTCTATTGATTGTCACACCATAGAGATCAGGGTTAGAATAGGTCCCCAGCACTCTATTGATTGTCACACCATAGAGACCTTGGTTAGAATAGGTCCCTAACACTCTATTGATTGTCACACCATAGAGACCCAGGTTAGAATAGGTCCCTAACACTCTATTGATTATCACACCATAGAGACCCGGGTTAGAATAGGTCCCCAGCACTCTATTGATTATCACACCATAGAGACCCGGGTTAGAATAGATCCCCAGCACTCTATTGATTGTCACACCATAGAGACCCGGGTTAGAATAGGTCCCCAGCACCCTATTGATTGTCACACCATAGAGACCCTGGTTAGAATAGGTCCCCAGCACCCTATTGATTGTCACACCATAGAGACCCGGGTTAGAATAGGTCCCCAGCACTCTATTGATTATCACACCATAGAGACCCGGGTTAGAATAGGTCCCCAGCACCCTATTGATTGTCACACCATAGAGACCCGGGTTAGAATAGGTCCCCAGCACTCTATTGATTGTCACACCATAGAGACCCAGGTTAGAATAGGTCCCCAGCACTCTATTGATTATCACACCATAGAGACCTGGGTTAGAATAGGTCCCTAACACTCTATTGATTTTCACACCATAGAGACCCAGGTTAGAATAGATCCCTAACACTCTATTGATTGTCACACCATACAGACCCGGGTTTGAATAGGTCCCCAGCACTCTTATTGAGCAGGGCCCACGGGCACGTCTTAATAGCACCACTACAATGTAAATCGCCCAGAGAGCGGAAGGTCCGGGGTTTGATCCTCGGACACGTCATACCATAAGACGTTAAAAGATGCTATTTGTTGTTACCCTATATGGTGCATGGCATTAAGGGGCTAAAACAAGGACTGGCCGGCTCGGAGTCAGTATACTGTGTCTGAGTGGGGTATTCATGTTAAACTGCGGCATGGTGTCTCAGTGGGCTAGCACTATAAATCGGCATCAGTCCGGACTAGTACAAGCAGCCACACACACACACCCGTGCATGCACGTCGCTATATAAGTGCATTAATCTTGGACACGACGTTAAACCCCATTTCACCTCACCCTTTTCTTTATATATACTGAGTGAGTGAGTGAGTATGGTTTTACGCCGCTTTTATCAATATTCCAGCAATACTACGGCAGAGGAACCAGAAATGGGCTTCACACATTCGGCGAGACGAGCGAATGCTTTAACCACTAGGCTACCCGACCGCCCCTTATATATACTGAGGGGCATGGGGTAGCCTAGTGGTTAAAGCAGTCGCTCGTCATACCGAAGATCCAGGTTTGAGTCCCACATGGGTACAATGTGTGATGCCTGTTTCTGGCGTACCCTGCAGTGATATTGCTGGAATATTCCTAAAAGTGGCGTAAAACTATACTCACTCACATGTACTGCGATTATGCGCAGGTAATTACTGAATTGACTCTGTTTCAGTTTTAATGAGACAAACTTTGTTGGCCTGGTGTTCGGAGCTAATGTGGCGCTGTCAGCGTTTGTCAAAGGTGTGTACATGTAGATTTGGACCCAAGAAGACCTGGGGTAGAATTACATGTTTAATACATATGTACCGTATTCGACGTAAATAGCGCCCAGGGCACTCTCAAAATTAGAAAAAGGGGGCTCTCATTAGAATATTATTTTGTCGAAAAAAACAGAGTTGAAAGATGAATAAATAAATCAGATGATAGCCTGAAATGTTTATATACGAGAGATATATTTTTCCAGAATTTAATTGCCCATAATTAAGGGTGCATATAACACACGAGTGCGTATTGTACGCTAATGAATAAGTATTGTGTACATTGATCAATCGGAACGGGTGCTCACTGGGATTGTTCACGAGCCAATATATTAGCAAATATCGCTGTGGGCGCTTATTAGAACGGGGGGCTTATTACGTCGAATACGGTATATGTTTCTGTGACAGATGATTATTAATTAAGCATCGATTATCATAAATATATATCGATATGATATCGATATTATAATTTGATTGATAACTGTACATGGATATCACAATCTGTGATAACGTCCCTAGTCATATGTTAATCTAGTGAGGTGAGGTGACATGGCACTTGTATAGCGACGTGTGTCCGTGCGATGGTTTTACAGTGCTTGTTTTATGGTGGTAGTCACAAGTCCCATCTCTCTATGCAGACGCTCCATCTGTTCGACCCCACAGGCGCTTGTTAATCTGGATATGTATTAATCCTTACGATTTATTAATCCTAGAGATTTATCTAGACATCCTCAGAGGTTGATATTCAACTCCAAATATGCAGCAAATGTCATTAAAAACTAATCAGGGACCATTTCGAAAGTTTGATGTCTGTTTAAGAACTTAATTCCTTGAGTTTAGGGGCAGGGGGTAGGGCTGGGAGGAGTCCAGATTTACTACCCTGAGTACCCACCCTACTCCGGTCTCAAGAAATAGGTACAAATGTACCAATGTCCGATTGGGAATAGTTTGACTGTATCCCAGGCAAAATGTATTTAGATACTCGTATAAAACGATCTGGTCATGCGTACACTGAAGTTGACTGAAGTTTTATCTCTATTCAAACATATAAAGTAAAAATAAATGAGTTCATATTCAGAAACAGGCGAAACACCAGATGTCATGGAAATTCAACATTTTCAGAATTAGGTAAGTTTTTTGGGGGGAAGGGGGTAGGTCTCAAAACTTAAGGATTTATGTATTTTATCCAACATCAAACTTTTGAACTGGTCCCTAATTTGATAACCTGCATTTCACTGACAACAGGACCATTAAAGAAAATGAGTTTTAATGCTTCGTTCTAAGTTTTGTATTATATAATGCAATCTCAAAATACAATGTTAAAATACCTCTGAGTTTGTGAATTAAACTTTTTAAAAATCCTGATTTTTAAACAAAATAACGATTTCTTCCCAATTTGCCTGCCAGGGGTACTTAGTTTAGAATCCTAGATAACTTGTTGATCACATATAGGCTAATAGGGCTTCGAAGTACCTGTCATCCCCATCATTACTGTCAAACACTGGCAGCCACGATGGAGTGCTGCTCTGTTTTGCACCAATTAATTGATCAGGAAATGTGGGGTTGATGATTTTCAATTTTTAAATACTTTTTTTTAAAAATAAGTCAAGAATAATTACAATTTGTAGCAAAAGAAATTGAATATTGTCATTGCATGAAGACACTACTGCTATTGCCGTTGTCAAAGTTGATGCATCTGTGTTGGCGGGTTTGAGAAATGATTAGAAATCTGTAATTTTGTTACTCTCTCGTATTAAGGATGTTGAAACAGAATGCTTTTAATATAAGAAACATCTGTTCTTTTTCCTGATCGAACTTTAACCAATCATAATTGAGCATTGATTTCTTTCTCAAACCGGTGATCAATCTTAGATTTGTAAAGGTCCTCAACACAAAATTTGAGTTAAGTTTCTTGAATTCGTTTACTTTCTTATTACCTGGCATACCATGCATGCTATAACAGGTGACTATGCATGTCGTAAGAGGCGACTAACGGGATTAGGTGGTCAAGCTCGCTGACTTGGTTGATGCATGTCATCGTATCCAAATTGCATGGATCGATGCTCATGATATCAATCACTGGATTGTCTGGTCCTGACTCGATTATTTACAGACCGCCATGATATAGCTGGAATATTGCTGAGTGCGGAGTTAAACAACCAACCAACCAACCTGGCATACATAAGGATGGGTTTGAATCTGAAAATGGTTTGTATGCTCCAGACTCAAACCTTTTTTTTCTGGAAGTTTCACACTCAGTCATGTCAGCCTTGGTTATTAATTATAATATATTTGAAATATTCTTTCAGTCTTTGATGTTATTTCGTTTTTTGAGAATGAAATAAAAAAAATCTGTGATATTTTAAATAATTTTATTTATCAATTGCAGGCCTCAACACATTTTTTCTTCTGAAGGTGCCGTTTAAGTACAGGTTCATGGTGAATGGATGCCTTATGCTGATTGGTAAGGCAACAATGTTGACATATTAAACCACTTATATGAGTCAGGCGTGGGATCAGCTGATCATTTCTTCAAGGCGCTGACCATTTTCATGCATTTTAGTACAGCGGCCATCTTCCTGAGGCAGGGAGTTAACTGACTGTAAAAGTCCAGTTTCCACCCTTGCCGAACTTGGCTGCAATTTCCAGGCTCCATCATAGCGTACCAGTGGCTGTTACGAGAGTTATGTCCCTTCTATGTCCCTCCTATCGACCAATCAGATTCCCCCTCTCATATCGTTTGCATTTGCATTTGCCCTCATACACCTAGACTAACATTTAGTCTCTGAAATCTTATATTACACAATATCCTTCTTGACTCTAAAAATAAAAATAAAATTCCCTATGCGGCTAGACTTGCTTTTGTATGCATTTCTAGATTATGTTTTTTTCATAAAATAAATATATTCCACGGTCATGGTGCAGGACTATCATACACCATGTACACTTTATTCAATAACCTGCCTGAGATCAGAGACCATAGAATGATTGTCTAGCTCTGCTGAGATTCAAGTGCTTAATGTGAGATTTGGTGTGTTCATAATTGGATGAGCCATTGTGAGAGCCATTTGTAAACTTCTTTCCAGTATGTATTGTAATCGTAGTATGTTTTGTAATCATGGAGTGTTTTGTAATCATGGTATGTTTTGTTACCAGGTTTGATTGGAGTGGCGTACTCCTTCAGCTTTGGATTTGCCCTGGCCTGCATTGTGAGCATGCTTTGTTTGTTTGTTTCTTTGCTTCTTTGTTTGTTTATTTCTTTCCTTCTTTGTTTGTTTGTTTGTTTAATGCAGCACTCAGCAGTATTCCAGCTACTGTAAATCTGGAAAGTTTTGTGCCATGAAATTATTGCGAGTGGCTAACACTAGCCTTTACTGTGTTTGGAAAGTTTTGCGAGACCTTGTTGAAATTACAAAAGATAAAAATTTGTGGTACTGTATAGGAAGTGGCGTGTTGAAAAGGTAACTCAGTAACACTATAGTGTTAAACTATAGATGCATGTGTTTGTAGCAGGGCGTGGAGTCATCCCACAGATGACATCCTTACCTTGTCAGCTTGCTGACAGGGTTAACCTCTTTGGTCATGTGGACAAGGCGTCCGACCTCGGATCAGCAGGTCCGTGGTTCAAATCCCATCACGGGATTTGGAAATTTTATGGCCGCTTCATGTTGTTGTTGACAAGGGAGGTAGGAGTAGCGTGTTTATCTAACAGTAACCTTATGAGGAAAGTGTAAGGTTGTGGAAGTCAATTGCAGCTCAAGATGTTGATGGGGCGGTCGGGTAGCCTGGTGGTTTAAGCGTTCGCTCGTCACGCCTAAGACCCGGGTTCGATTCCCGACATGGGTACAATGTGTGAAGCCCATTTCTGGTGTCCCCCGCCGTGATATTGCTGGAATATTGCTAAAAGCGGCTTGAAAACCATACTCACTCACTCACTCAAGATGTGGATGGGGATATTCACACGTGGACACAGGAATTAGTGTTCTGAAACCAGTCGGTTGTGGGTTTCTGGCCACCTTTGATCAGCTGTTGAATGACAAGGAAACTGACTTGCATGGCTGGCGATGTCGGGACTAATCAGTGTTATGGAAATAACTTGTCCAGATGTGGCGGGATAGCGTACGTTCCTGATCAGGCTATTGACACTGAGTGACAATGTGTGACTAAAGAAACAGGATATCTATTTGATCAAGAGGGAAAGTAAATAAAATAATTAGGCCTCCTTATGATTTTTATTTGTTGTTCGGCTGCAAAAAATATGTGTCATGAAATTATTGCAAGTGTGTGTCACGTGCACTTTTTGCAGTACTTTCCTGCTCACAGAACTTTCCAGATTTGCAGTACAATATGTTTTATATGATCCTGTAAATAATTGATAATATGTGAATATTCTGCCAACACCGACAACCGTGTCACTCTTCATCTTGCAGGTGGTGGTGGGATCTAGTGCCGCCTTTGGGGAGAAGTACGTCATTCATCAGTATTGAATAATTTTTAATGTGAAGTATACAGCTTTTCCATTGGATGAACCCGGTCACATGACTGCAACACTGATGTTCTTAAGTGAATGAACGACACAATTTGACGTTCATATGTTTTATTCACAGGTCTGTATTCTTGAAATGACATAAACACGGACGGACGATTTCCATATTCCTTGGGAAACCTCTGGAATTCCCTTGCATGTATCAATACAGAAGCGTTGTTTCTGATTTGTCAGACTCTTTAAACTTGTACTTAGCAATTTGGCTTACACTGGCAGAGCTCCAGATAAGCTTTTGGTGTTGTGGGTATTTTACCCATGCATTTTAAAATCATTGGGTATCAGTAATTCTATCTGGGTATTCAAATTTCTGTTACCCACTAGTTTTTACACATGTGGGTATTTAAGTTAAATATTTAAAAACACTATTCATCTAGTCCCTGCAAACTGGTGTTGTGTGGGTTCGAGAGCTTTATAGGACTCAAAAATACCACGATACTTCCACAAGAAAGTGTGATGGCAAATGATCATGATGTAACTGTCATCGTGGAGTTGGGCAAGGTTGACGGAATGCCTGTTTATAATTTCAAAATAAGTTGCTGATTTGCTAATTGAATACGCAGGGTTACTTCACAATATTCACGCACAAGTTTTATTTTTGTAGCGTATCTGTAATGCTAGTTGCGTATTTGATACGCTTGGATTTTATTTTACTGGGTATTTCTGCATTTCTGATGCGTATTTTACACAGATATGCAGCTTATCTGGAGCTCTACAATGAATTAGTCAGAGAGTGTGATTGCATGCCTGTTCAAGGATATCCTCAGTTCAACCCACCCTAGTGAACAAAAGGAAAATATTCACATCCAACCTAGTGCAGTATCGACTCAGACCATGTCTCGACTGACAGTGACAGTCTATCTATCTATGAATTTACCTTTGTATGTATTTGACACATCTTTACAGTCACCTTTCGATGATCGGCCAATTGATCTATGATGACTAATATAATCACCACACGTTCATTAACAACTTCGGAAATCTCTCCCATCACATTTATTGCTTCGTCCATTTTGGCTTCTTGTGCTTGATGTAAATGTATGACGACGCGCTGTCATTGTGACCGACTTAACAATTCTTAACAATTCTTAACCATTATTTCTTATCTCATGATGATATTAATTGAATATATTTCTTGTAAACAAACTACAAAAGATATCACTGTGAGCATAAATACGCTCACGTCACCTCTCCTTTTGAGGAACTATTTTATTCTGCGATACAGCTGGTAGTTGTATGGCTGTCAGTGTAAACAAGAAGTCACGCGTACTAAAGAAAACTTTGTATAGATCTTCATCCTTTGAGGTAAAAAAATAGTGATATAAAAAATGATAAGAATTGATTTTCACTTTGTGTGAGTTTATTGGAGTATGAACCGTCATAGAGTAAGGGAGGGGCACGGGTGGCCCAGTCGTCTTAGGTGTTTCGCTGTGCAGAGTTGTGTCCCTTGGGCACGCCAGAAACCTATGATTGTGGGTTCGAATCCCGGTTCGCCCCGATTATGTTTCTAGGTTTGTCAGCACCATACCCGTGCTCGTGGGTTTCACCGAAGTGGTAAACGTCTGAGACCTGCATCACTTCGGGCTTTCCTCCCACATTAAGCTGACACGCCGTGATATAACTTGAATACTGTTAAAAGCGGCGTAAAACCCAACTCACTCACTCACTCACTCATAGAGTGAGGGCCAAAGATTGTATGAATGTCGTCGCAAGCTCCCATGTTCATACAGTTTGGCCCTCACTCTATGAAGGTTCATACTTCAATGAACTCACACAAAGTGAAGTCAATTCTTAATGAAAAGAGTTAAAAGAGTTGATATTAAGAAAACTTTTTAATTTGACATTAAATAGGAAAAGGTATAAAGTGCTCCCACGTCATGGTTAACTCTCACTGTTTGGATTCCGGGTCAAATTTGGACCCCAGCAACCTGTTCTGGTTGTAAGAGGGGTCCACATGGATGGGCAGGGGTGGTCACACAGAGTGACTCGCTTGTACCAAGACAGTGTGCCTCATTGACATCATCAGTCACTGGTTTGTCTGGCCCAGACATGACTACCTATAGACTGCTGTCGTGTCGCTGGGATAATGCTGATGCCAGCGCGAAGCAACAAACAAGCATTGCATTACCTCTATCCGTGGAACCAGAATGTCTAAAGGTTTGTATTAATGTGAACATATTTGGTTGTGTGGTGTGTGTTGCAGTGTGACCCTCGGCTTCCTGTCTCAGTTTCCCAGCAAACTCATCAACGCCTGGTCCAGCGGCACCGGCATGGCTGGTCTCCTGGGGTCTTCTGTGTACATCGTGTTTGGTAAGTTTGGGAGTCATATTTGGTTAGTGTGGGAGTCATATTTGGTTAGTGTGGGAGTCATATTTGGTTAGTGTTGGGAGTCATATTTGGTTAGTGTGGGGAGTCATATTTGGTTAGTGTGGGAAGTCATATTTGGTTAGTGTGGGAGTCATATTTGGTTAGTGTGGGAAGTCATATTTGGTTAGTGTGGGGAGTCATATTTGGTTAGTGTGGGGAGTCATATTTGGTTAGTGTGGGAAGTCATATTTGATGTTTATTTAACAGCTGGACAAATAATGTAATGTTACCCTGCTGTTCTGTCATTGTAGGCTGTACTGTGGGCAATGGAAGCGACAAGACCAGCAAGCTGCACACTCTCACAAAGTAAGCAACTCTCACCTCCCTTCTTGTATAACAGAGGCCAGTCAACAAATAGATGTCGGCCGAACTCAAAAGTTATAAAGTTCAGTCAAACTGTTTTCTTGGATGTGTTGAATTCCCGGTTGTCTCCAACTCATTCCCATCAATAAAAAACAAGTTAAAATTTCCCTTATCAGATGCATCAATACATCGAAAGTCACATGATGTGTTGATCATCCTGTGATAAGAACAAAATGTGCTTGAATGTAGATGTGAAAATACTCTTTTTTGGGACTCATGGTTACAGTGTTCTGTGACTGTTATGTTCCAGGTATGCGTTCCTCCTGACGACACCGGTCGTGTTGATCTACTGGGTGGCCTACTTCGTCATTGTCCGAGTACCTACAACCCCGATGTCAACTCTGTCTGTCAGTGAACCGGAACGCGAGACGGTAGATGAGAAGACTCCAATAATACAACACTCTCAGACAGGTAACTTGAGTTAACTCCGATAATACAACACCCTCAGACAGGTAACATGAGTTAACTCTGATAATACAACACCCTCAGACAGGTAACATGAGTTAACTCTGATAATACAACACCCTCAGACAGGTAACATGAGTTAACTCCGATAATACAGCACTCTCAGACAGGTAACATGAGTTAACTCCGATAATACAACACTCTCAGACAGATAACATGAGTTAACTCTGATAATACAACACCCTCAGACAGGTAACTTGAGTTAACTCTGATAATACAACACCCTCAGACAGGTAACTTGAGTCAACTCCGATAATACAGCACTCTCAGACAGGTAACATGAGTTAACTCCCATAATACAACACTCTGAGACAGGTAACTTGAGTTAACTCCCATAATACAACACCCTCAGACAGGTAACTTGAGTTAACTCCGATAATACAACACCCTCAGACAGGTAACATGAGTTAACTCTGATAATACAACACTCTCAGACAGGTAACACGAGTTTACTCCGATAATACAACACTCTCAGACAGGTTACATGAGTTAACTCAAATAATATACTGATATATCTAATAAGGGAACAGTGAAAACTGTAGGGAAAGAAGGTTTACTGTCAGTTCATTTGAAAAAGCGCACATACAAAATCATCACGTCAGAATCATATGTTGAGATGTGTTTGTGTGCATTGTTTCCAATGCGTATTTGGTAGACGAGGCTTGGAACCCATGACAGCATATGTCTTACTGAGTCTAAAACTAGGTGTTCCCTTATTCATCTCCATCAGTATACAGCACCCTCAGACAGAGAGACCAGCATAGGTTGCTGGGGACCTATCCTAACCGAAAATCCCCACGGAGAGACCAGCATAGGTTGCTGGGGACCTATCCTAACCGAGAATCCCCACAGAGAGACCAGCATAGGCTGCTGGGGACCTGTTCTGACCCAGAATCCCTACAGGGAGACCAGCATAGGCTGCTGGGGACCTATTCTGACCCAGAATCCCCATAGGGAGACCAGCATAGGCTGCTGGGGACCTGTTCTGACCGAGAATCCCCACAGAGAGACCAGCATAGGCTGCTGGGGACCTGTTCTGACCCAGAATCCCTACAGGGAGACCAGCATAGGTTGCTGGGGACCTGTTCTGACCCAGAATCCCCATAGGGAGACCAGCATAGGGTGCTGGGGACCTGTTCTGACCCAGAATCCCCATAGGGAGACCAGCATAGGCTGCTGGGGACCTGTTCTGACCCAGAATCCCCATAGGGAGACCAGCATAGGGTGCTGGGGACCTGTTCTGACCCAGAATCCCCATGGAGAGACCAGCATAGGCTGCTGGGGACCTGTTCTGACCCAGGATCCCCACGGGGAGACCAGCATAGGTTGCTGGGGACCTATCCTAACCGAGAATCCCCACGGAGAGACCAGCATAGGGTGCTGGGGACCTGTTCTGACCCAGAATCCCCACAGAGAGACCAGCATAGGGTGCTGGGGACCTGTTCTGACCCAGAATCCCCATAGGGAGACCAGCATAGGGTGCTGGGGACCTGTTCTGACCCAGAATCCCCATAGGGAGACCAGCATAGGGTGCTGGGGACCTGTTCTGACCCAGAATACCCATAGGGAGACCAGCATAGGCTGCTGGGGACCTGTTCTGACCCAGAATCCCCATAGGGAGACCAGCATAGGGTGCTGGGGACCTGTTCTGACCCAGAATCCCCATGGAGAGACCAGCATAGGCTGCTGGGGACCTGTTCTGACCCAGGATCCCCACGGGGAGACCAGCATAGGTTGCTGGGGACCTATCCTAACCGAGAATCCCCACGGAGAGACCAGCATAGGGTGCTGGGGACCTGTTCTGACCCAGAATCCCTCTCACTCACTCACTCACTCACTTACTTACTCACATTACTCCTACAAAATGGAAGATGAATATATATTGGTACTTCATGAGAATAGGGATACATATTTGATGTTCTTGTAATGTTGGATATGAAGGACCAGCCTCATCGATGTTTTTTGCCATTACATCAAAATACAGGAGACAACATAGTGGTCAGGATTACTTTCACATATGGAAAACATGAAGAAATGAAAAAATATACAGGATACAGTTGTACAAAACAACCTTAGCACTACAACTGTTGTAAGTCTATGTTAGAGTATGGGAGTTACGATCACCTTAGCGCTAAGATCGCTCTGTAACAATGGCATCCAGGTATTTTGTTAATAATATGCTTTTTATATGAAAGAAAGGTCATGCTATTAACTTTTGGTTTATGTTTATGATAAGTGTATTCCTTCTGCAACATGTTGGTCAGACTTATCAATACAGCAAGACAATGAGAGATACAGATGCAACAGTGACCTGATGTAAAGTGTTTGTATATGACAGAATCTGAGGGGGAGACTGAGAGGTGTGACCCTCCCGTCCTGGAGGAGACTGCCCTGAGACGTATCTGGAGATGCTTGAAGCTGGTCGGCTGGATGGCAGGCAATGTAAGCTCTCGGGAAACAGGTGCCATAATTAAGTCAATCTCATTAAAATCAGATCTTAGTTCTCGCTACTGCTAAACAAAGATCTGAAGACATCCCATAAGAGGACACGTCAGAACGACCAATCAGTGCGTCGCTTACCAGATTATGAAAGTCAGAATATGATTTCTAATCATGCAATCTCGAAAACTTTAACATTGGGTATTCCGAACGATAGTTAACGACTGAATCCTTACAATCTAGACCATCTATTAGCCATTCCAGAATGTTTTTTTGTTCAGGTTTCAAATTTGTAATCGAGAATTTTGATAAAATATGTTTCGAAGCGTAGTCGCCAATTTGAAATTTCGTGCCGTAAAGCACGAGAAAGCTGCCTTCGGCTCGGCATGTGAAGCACCGGCAACCTTCTCTCTGAACGACACTTCGCGGATGTTATTGATAAAACTTCCTTTTAGTTGTGACATATGAATTTTTCTCGCTAGAAATTTATTTTGCATTTGAAACAAAATGTAATGAAATGTAAAATCTAATGACAAATGTTTTTTTTATATTCCCGAGGATCGAACACACATCCTTCATAGTGAGTGTACCACTAGGCTACAGAGGCGCTGATAAATTACTATGCTTTTAAGTATGTCTTTTTCAAGTACTGTACGCCAGCAACAGATATTTTACGCCTGTTTCCAAAGGTTCATGGAAAGTATGTTTGAAACAAAAAAATGTTGATAAATGTTGTTTTAAGTTTCTTGTTTCGGTTAATAAGTTAGATAAAACACTTCCCCTCGGGTTTTTGTGATACTTTAAACCCTCACCCCGCAGATGTTGGTTTTAAGTACCGTATTTTCTTGAGTATAGTGCGCACTTTTTTTCGAAAAAACACAGCTGTGTAGAAGGGGGTGCGCATTATACACGAATTATGAGTTTGGATGTTTTTTTCCCCATGGAAAGACATTACCGTGAGCACGAAACACCGGGAATACCATGTCAACAAATCCATACTGAAGTACGCAAAATAATTATGTAATTACACTGTCTGGCTATAAAAAGTGTTCTTTGTATATTTGGACTTATGTTTGTAACTTATTTCATTGATTTTTTTCAAAATTCCTTATAATATTGTTTTTATTAATTTCGGCGAAATCGTGTGTGAAGCGATCGGAAGATCGCACAACTCACCGTTATTTACAGCAAGCACGGTCAGAATACCGCTATTGACGCCTTGGAACAAACTTTAGTTGACAGAGAATGGATACATATATCATAAATGACATACTTTGACTCGTTAAAAGTCATATTTGTTTTTGTTTGACGATTCTATGTCAACATGAAATTCTCGCGATCACGTGATCACGTGCGCGTGAGCCTTGACGGTGACTGGTCAGACATGTTCCATGTAAAAAATAATACCCGGGAATAGCGGTCAGCTGCTTCGCTTAGGGTTATTATTATTTGAAATATGTTTAGTAAAGGTTGCATATAATTAAGAAAATAATGGAATATATTATTCCTGATAAATAACATAGTTTCAGATACAATTGTTGCCGATCCTTGCATTAAAAATCTTATAAAGTTATATCATTGGGTGTGTCTTGACCGAATCACCGGTCGATTCCAAGAAAACGTGTGTACAGCTGATTGCTGTTTCCAGCTTAGTTTACGAGAAAATACGCAAGGTAATCTTAATCCCTAAATATAAAACAATGCCTAGCAGAACAATAAATACTATTTAAACGGTAAATAAACATGTCTGGTGATTTTTTATCTCAAATTTCGAATTTGTACTGACGAAGTTTCTCAGCACCCGTTCGTTTGCCGGACTTCGCTGAAAGGGTACGGTGTAAAAAAATTCTGCGCATAATATTCAATTTTTTTTTTTTTCCAAAATATTGAACCCGCTAGAGGGGGGTGCGCATTATACATGGGTGCGCACTATACTCAAGAAAATACGGTATCATTAAAACCCTCGGACGTGCTTTATGCTACATGTAGCATGGAGACAGAACACTGTCCTCTGTGTTTAATGTATGCACTGTGTGGGACAATGCTCACGTATAATAGCTGTAGGCATCCTCTGGAGAATAAATGTCATTAGTGCAAGGTTTTTCTGAATCTGAACTTACAGAACATTTTTGAACTGAAGGAATTTTGTTATGTAGCTGGACAAATTGGGCTTAGAAAAATATAAGAATTGGTTCTCAGGCAGTGACTTTTAAAATATAGTGTGGGTGGGCGATGTCTTTTTTTTTTTCTTTATGCCTGTTCAATCTAGTATGTAACCTAATAAACAGTTGTGTACCATCAACCTGGGAAAGGTTCTCCCTATATAAACAAGCATACAGACTCCTATTGCTGCCATGACGATAACACGAGATGCGCAGTAAAGCAGTGTGCATGTAAAGGGAAGTAACTGGATCACATTCTTTTTAAGTATAAAGATTTTTATTTTTTTGCAAATCACATTAAAAATGAAATGTGCGACAGACTTGCGGGCGGTGCCTGAGAACCAAGAATTATATTTTTATTAGCCTTGCATATTTGACCTTATGATTATAATTTTCTTCCCACAAAGAAGTGTAATTTCAACATACGATTTTGTTAAGGATATTAATTTGGAGAATTGGGAAATACTTTATTTAGCTTGGAATGATGTTTTGAGTTCGTGGTGTCCATCTCTACTTCAGTTGGCAGCTGTGTATGTGTTCGAGTACGTGGCCAGGGGATGTGCCGCCAAGGTTCGGCCCAAGTCGGAATACCACGTGGGTTGTCCCGAGCTGTATGCCGCTCTCCAGCTCTGTTATCAGGTGGGGATCCCCCAGACTTCCACCTACCCATAATCTGCAGTGGCACAGCAAGGATGTTATGATGAGGAGCTCAAACTGTGAGCTCTGGGTTGGTGTGGGGCGGGATGTTGCCACATTTTGATAACCCCATGTGTTGACCTTACTTTGTGTAAGGAGCATAGGTGCAGGCTTGTATGTTTGTGTCGAGGTCAACTTTGCTTTGTGTTGGAAGCAATAATAATATTGTGTTGAAGGCCGATGTGTTTGTGTCGAGGTCGACCTTGCTTTGTGTTGGAAGCAATAATAATGTTGTGTTGAAGGTCGATGTGTTTGTGTCGAGGTTGACCTTGCTTGGTGTTGGAAGCAATAATAATGTTGTGTTGAAGGTCGATGTGTTTGTGTCGAGGTCGACCTTGCTTGGTGTTGGAAGCAATAATAATGTTGTGTTGAAGGTCGATGTGTTTGTGTTGGGGTCGACCTTGCTTGGTGTTGGAAGCAATAATAATGTTGTGTTGAAGGTCGATGTGTTTGTGTCGAGGTCGACCTTGCTTGGTGTTGGAAGCAATAATAATGTTGTGTTGAAGGTCGATGTGTTTGTGTTGGGGTCGACCTTGCTTGGTGTTGGAAGCAATAATAATGTTGTGTTGAAGGTCGATGTGTTTGTGTCGAGGTCGACCTTGCTTGGTGTTGGAAGCAATATTAATGTTGTGTTGAAGGCCGATGTGTTTGTGTCGAGGTCAACCTTGCTTTGTGCTAGAAGTAATGATAATGTTGTGTTGAAGGCCGATGTATTTGTGTTGGGGTCAACCTTGCTTTGTGCTAGAAGTAATGATAATATTGTGTTGAAGGCCGATGTGATTGTGTCGTGGTCGAACTTGCTGTTGAGGCGAGATAATAAAAAACAAAACAAAACATTGTTTCGGGTCATGTTATATGATTTGTATAAAGGCCACATGCTTCCCAGAAATCAGATCCTGCCATTAATTTCACATGCAGAAAATGGATCGTCAGTGTAGGCCAGGGTTGTGTTGAAGGCTGATGTGTTTGTGTCCAGCTCAACCTAAATTTATGTACTCACCGCCAAAAGAAACGCAAATACCATAGTAATATGGTTAATATATGAAGAACTGCTTATGATCAAGAGATATTAGATTGGTTCAATGCACAAACGAGCATACTGTTATGTTATGTGAAACGATGCTCATGAACACATCACATGTGACGTCATAGATCCATGACTCAAGATGCACCATTTGTCTCATGCAGGATTAGTGTGTAAAGTTAGGAAACAATATCGTGATAAGAAAAAAGTCACTCTGTGGTGACACTTGACTGATTGTTAGTTTTGTCATTAATTGGTTCTCGTTTCTTTTGGCAGTGAGTATATAAGAAGCAGCAATAATGTTGTGTTTGCAGGCCCGTGTGTTTGTGTCAAGGTCGACCTTGCTTTGTGCTAGAAGCAATAATAATGTTGTGTTTGCAGGCAGGTGTGTTTGTGTCGAGGTCGACCTTGCTTTGTGCTAGAAGCAATAATAATGTTGTGTTTGCAGGCCGGTGTGTTTGTGTCGAGGTCGACCTTGCTTTGTATTGGAAGCAATAATAATGTTGTGTTTGCAGGCCGGTGTGTTTGTGTCGAGGTCGTCCGTACAGCTGGTGCAGATACAAAGGGTGGAAGTACTCTCTGCCTTACAGTTCATCAACATGATCATCTGGATCATTGATGTGCACGTAAGTCTGTCTCATGATCCAACTGTATAACCATAATATACTGAAGGAAACAAATAAGGGAACACATGAAAGTACCCGTTCCTTCCTTTATTCTTTTCCAGGTTTCTTCGCATGCTTTGAGTTGCTCTGTGGGTGAAAATCTGCAAATAAATAAAGGAACAGTGTGATAAAGTGGTGTTCCCTTATTTGTCTCCCTCAGTATATGTAAACTGTTTCCAAATAGTGAGGCAGGGGGCGTTTTTAGAACATGTGTTACCATTAACAGAAGTCATATCGCGGCACACTATCTTTTGTCTGTCTGTCAAACAATTACATTTTTTACATACTTTGTGAAACAAGTGGAAACTTTGTATGGATGATCCAAGCAGTTCTGTCTCTAAAGGTGTAATTCCAATCAGATTTTAAACATGGCTGATTTGGCAGCCATTTTGGAATTTGTATTTTTGCCCATTACCCTTATCATGTCTCAGTTAGAATTTTCCATGAAGAATGTTGTATGGATAATAAGATCTTAGTATGTGACCCACCAGGAGAAAAGTGACCTTATGGGTGCTAGGTTACAACTGTGCTGGGGGCGGTCGGGTAGCCTATTGGTTAAAGCATTCGCTCGTCACGCCAAAGACCCGGGTTCGATTCCCGACATGGGTACAATGTGTGAAGCCCATTTCTGGTGTCCCCTGCCGTGATATTGCTGGAATATTGCTAAAAGCGGCGTAAAACCATACTCACTCACTCACTCACTCACTCACTCACTCACTCACTCAAACTGTGCTGTGGCGTCATAAAGACGGTTGACGTCAGCTTACTTCAGCGAAGATCGCCATGTGTGCGTACTGTTCAAAAATATTTTATTTTTCTCTCATTAGTTCATAATGTAATAACATTATTTCAAAACCTTAAAGCATACATGGTACTTTTAATTCATCAGACATTGTGTCTGAAAGCTGGAATTATTACATAAGCAGTTATATGTCGGAAAATGAGTCCAATTGTTCGATGTCATGTATCTGTGTAATAAATATGAATTGAAGCTTGTGAATTGTATTCTCTGTTCCGAAAGATACTGTAGTTTTTAAAATAATGTGAAAAGTCAAAATGTGATTTTGTCACCCATAAGGTCCTTTATCTCAAGGTTGGTCGCATATTATGCATATATTGGTGCTATGATAGCACATCTACAGTTGACCTGTGAAGATTCGGGGCGTGAAGATTTGCTGTAAAAGGTGACTATGCTTGTCATCAGAGGAGACTAACGGGATCAGGTCGTCAGGCTCGCTGCCATGGTTGATGCATGTCATGGTATCTCAATTGCGTGGATCGTACTCATGATGTCAGTCAATGTATTTATTGTCTGGTCCAAACTTGATTATTTACAGACCACCGTGATATAGCTGGAATATTGCTGAATGCGGCTTTAAACAAACAAACAAACAAACATCTACAGTTAACATGGTGTAGCCTTGTGGTGAAAGTGGAAACTCGCAACACAAATCCCAAAGATGGTACAGCAATGGTACACTTGTTTGTTCACTTTAACAGTACAAGTTCCTGCCGGTGGCGGTGTTGCCAGCGTTCATGGTGTATGTTGGGTTGTTGGGCGGGGCCTCCTACGTCAACATCTTCTACATCCTGCTCCACAGCGACCGCTTCCCCGCCAAGGACAAGGAGCTGTGCATCAACCTCACGGCTCTGTTCATCACAATCGGTCTGTACTGTCAGGACTGAACTCTCCATCCCCACCCCCTTCACTGTGCCCTCATTTTTACCGCCACAACACATTTTGCAGGGAGTATTAACATGGCCACTGTCAGGTCTATATCATCTTCCCGAGTCAAGGGAGTTAACTGCCTATAAAAGTCCGGTTTCCACCCTTGCCGAACTAGGCTGGTATTATGGAGTTACAGTTTGGCTGGACTAACGGGTCTATGCATAGTCCAATCAAAATCGCGCAACGAAATCGAAATCTGGTTGTAAACTAACGTGCAGATTTCAGTCGATTGCAGGATTTGCAAAGCATGTGCACCGGCAACTCGTTGTCAACAGATATTTTCCAAACCTTTTCATGTTTTTAATCAAGGTGCACTCGTGATTAGATGTACTTCGCGATGTAAAACCCGTTTTATCACAATATAGATCTTGATGATCGATCAGATTGTCTTGACTGGGCGCCGTCATATTGTTTGAAACAAATGCAAAAGATGGAATCGGATTGGTGCAGAGGAGAGGCTCAGAAGGGACATAACTCATAATAACCACTGGTGGCGCTACGATTGAGCCCAGCCTAGTATGGCAAGGGTTGAAACTGGACTTTTAAAGTCAGTTAAGTTTTTTGCCTCGGGAAGATGGGTCTATACAGGTCCAGCAGAGAACTGGTGTCTTTTGATGGTTTTGGATTTTTCAAACGAATATTTGCTTGAGTTTCCATGGCAACAAGATTAATATATTGATTCACGACAAGTATTTACAGTAGTTGGGGTATAATGGCTGTCCTCTTGTCGTTCTATCTGTTGTCAGGACACTGCTGATTGTTGTATTTGTAACCTTGAATCCTACAGCACATAGCGACAAGTTTCTCATAAAACTGTTCATGCCCCTTTTTGTAAAATGTTCCTGTTTGTAAATCTTTTTTTAAATTACTTTATTTTCAATCTTATAAATATTACCCAATGGTTAATATAAAACTTCACATTCATGTTTCAGGAATATGCATCGGAACTGGCATGGAGACAGCACTGTTCACAACACTACTAAAGAACGACTAATGTTCACTGTTGGTCTCGGGATTTTTAACTGCGACATTTCTGACATCCTGTTTGGGGCAGGGCCAGTGTTGACCACGTTGGTGCACTTACCTTATCTGTACCATTCAGGGCGAAGTCAACATCCTCAGAAAGCCGTCCCTGTGTACATCATCCCCGTGCCACCACTGTCGTCATAGAAACCATGTGCATTACATTTTCTTGATGGTGATATTTTCTAGAGTAAAGGCAATGTGCAATATATCATACAAGATTTATCACCGAGTTTAGTTCATTCTTTTAGCTCTTTACTTTGAGTACTTTTTAAGTCATAAATGTTGCGAAAATATATATTTTGTAATAAAACCAAAATGATGAAATATTTGTTGCTCTGTAACTTAATTTTAAAATGTAACAGTTCATTATACACTTGTAACAAAATAAGTATTATCAGAACGGTGAATTTCCATATGTGTGTTTTTAATGTTTTTAAAAAAAAAATTTACTGCAAGAAATATACTTTCATTCCCACAAGACAAAAAAAGGACCATGCAACTATAGGTATTATCATTTTGAGCCTGCAGTATAAAATCGGCATTGGTCCAGACTAGTAAACACACACACACACACACACACACACACACACACACACACACACAGAGTACAATATAAGTGCAATAATCTTGGACGCGACTTTTAACCCCACCTCAATCTCATTAAAATCAGATTAGTTCTCGCTACTGCTAAACAAAGATCTGAGGACATCCCATTGCGGGTCACGCCAGACCGACTTTGCGCCAATTTTTACCAACCAATCTAATAACCAGTCTGAAGGCAGCTTTCTCGTTCTTTACGGCGCTAATTTCAAATTGGCGACTATGCTTCGAAACATATTTTGACAAATTCTTGATTACAAATTTGAAACCTGAACAAAAAAATAAACATTCTGGAATGGCTAATTGATTGACCGTCACTTTCATAATCTGGTAAGCGACGCTCTGATTGGTCGGATGAAAGCTCGTTCTGACGTGACCCCTAATGGGATGTCTTCAGATCTTTGTTTAGCGGTAGCGAGAACTAAGGTGTGATTTTAATAAGATTGACCTCATCTCACCCATTTTGAGCGCAAATATTTGAAGCGGTCGTAAAATATTTCTGATTCCTGCTCCCTGTGTATTGTCAACGATGGATGTGTTCGTTCTGAACGTTAAAATGATCAGTACCCAAGCACGGATACAGCTTGTGATCTGCATCCGCGGATGCCACCTCATGTAACACCATCACGTCCATGACACTGCATAGCTTAAACAGTTGAATGAACATGACACATACAGATTACTATAAGTTGAGCTAATAGTTCGTTTGACCCGTTAAGATCCAGGGTAGAACAGGTCTTCAACAACCCATGCTTGCCGTAAAAGGTGACTATGCTTGTCGTAAGAGGCGACTAACGGGATCGGGTGGTGAGGCTCACTGACTTAGTTGATGTATGTTATTGTATCCGAATTGCATGGATCGGTGCTTATGATGTCAATCACTGGATTGTCTGGTCCAGACTCGGTTATTTACAGACCGCCGTCATATAGCTGGAATATTGCTGAATGCGTCGTTAAACAACAAACCAACCAAACTAATAGTTCGTTTAAATCACGAACGTCTGAATGTATGCAGACTTGTGTTGAAAACAGGTCAGCGCTCAATTCACAGTGTTTTCATGTCACTAACTCGGGGAGGCTCACGTTTTTATTCACTGAAGCGTTTTTACACGTTTCGTCCTTTTTCAAGAAACACGTAGAAGCACAAATGTCTTGATCAAAGGGAATCCATGGATTTTTGTCTTAGTCTCGAGGAAATTGAGGAACTAACCAAATCAATTTTCATCACTGTTCTGTTTCCATCGACCTCATGAGACAGATATGAAATGGAAGCTGGTAGACATTTTCGTTTTCAATACAGATTTTTTGTGTAATAGTGTGCAATAATTTGAATGAAATGGTTGTTAATTTTGTATTTTGAAATGTCATGTTTATATCATAAAACTACAATAAAAATTTAAGCAAATATGTCCTTGTATGTTTCGACGCCGAGATGTCATGCTGCTGGCACAATACTAACGCGAACATACCGACATTCAGCAAGTATCTACCTGTTCTATCCGTGAAGGTCCAGGTTAAAGATGTTTGTCAGCAACCCATGCTTGTCGTAAGGGGCAACTCACGGGATCGGGTGGTCAGGCTCGCTGACTTGGTTGATGCATGTCATCGTATCCCAACTGCATAGATCGAGGCTCATGATGTCAATCAATGGATTGTCTTGTCCAGACTCGATTATTTACAGACTGCCGTCACATAGCTGGAATATTGCTGAGTGCGTCGTTAAACAACAAACAAACAAAACAATGAGTTCTGCAATGAGAGCGTAACCTGGAGACGGGGATATCTGTCAAAACACTATACTCTGTTTCATGTCGCTGGATCGTATTCCGTTCCCAGCATGTTATTTTTTTAATAGATGTTGGGATGGCAAATTCGTAACAAAGTTGTTATTTTGTTATTACCTACCGGAGGGCACCGATGGCCCAGTCGTCTCATGCGTGCAATTCACTGTGCAGAGTCGCGTCCCTTGACCAAAAACCTATGGTTGTGGGTTCGAATCCCGGTTCGCCCCGATTATGTTTCTAGGTTTGTCAGCACCATACCCGTGCTCGTGGGTTTCACCGAAGTGGTAAACGTCTGAGACCTGCATCACTTCGGACTTTCCACCCACATTAAGCTGACACGCCGCGATATAACTGGAATACTGTTAAAAGCGGCGTTAAACCAAACTCACTCACTCACTCACAAGTGAGCAACAATAATCTCCCGATTTCTATCTCCAGCAGTACATTTTGTGACACACTAAGACTACCCCCGCCCCAGAATCATGACAACAAATATATGGCTGAGGTAGAGCCTGTCCAAAGTACCCCAACCGATTTTACGTCAATATAAGTAACCTTTAATTAATTTTAGATTAAAACAGGTCATCGCACAATAATTAGAAAGCCTGTAGATTGAACATATTAAAAATACAACCACAGGAATTTAAACCGCCACGAGACCTTCTTTTCTTTGCATCAAAGAAAATAGGAATCGATTTTTCGATATGCAATAGACGCCTCTTCATCTTGCACGATTGATGCTATTGTGTGGATTAACTGGGATTTCCGCAGCTCGAGATCAACATCCTCTGACAGTAGTAGGATAGTCTGCAACGAGTGCCAGGCAGCTACAAATCCCCGCCGGGGTAGAGTTATCTCCCGTACATGAGGATCGGGTGGTGGCGGTGTGTGTGACCCGGCTGATAGCGTGTCCTTGCACTTGATGGCGTGGATCGTTGCTCAACTGCCAATCACTGATTTGGCTGGATCAGACTCAATAGTTTAGAGGTTTATTCCTGTCCTAGGCTATTAACACTTTAATACATTGACGAATTGCTTGTACCCACACGCGACCGCCTCCGTGGTCTAGTGGTAGAGCGTCCGCCCGGAGAGCGGAAGGTCCGGGGTTCGATCTCCAGCCGCGTCATACCAAAAGACGTTAAAAGATGGTACTTCTTGTTACCCTGTATGGCGCTCGGCATTAAGGGGCTAAAACAATGACTAGTCGGCTCGGAGTCAGTATACTGTGTCTGAGTAGGATATTCATGTTAAACTGCGGCATGGTATCTCAGTGAGCTAGCACTATAAATAGGCATCAGTCCGGACTAGTACAAGCAGCCACACAAACACACACACGTACATGCACGTCGCTATATAAGTGCAATAATATTGGGCGCGACGTTAAACCCCATTTCACCTCACCTCACCTTGTACCCTCAAGCGCATCAATGAACCCACGAACAGGTGCGCGGACACATATATCACCTCCAGTGTTCGAAATAGACAACGGCCCGTAGGCCCGTGGCGGACAGATTTCTTCTCGGGCTGATAGTTTTAAATTTCAGCAGGCCCTTACGGTCTGCAGTTTATTTATGTGATTATTTATTAAGCATTATTTACTAATGTGATAAACAATTTGATATTACGAAACAGTAGTATTAGACCTTTCAAATGGCGTATGACTTGTAATCGCAAAGATGTTTCACAAGTTCATAATTTCTGATAAATGTAGACTTCATCTATCAACACAGAGTCTCTGGGAACTCGACGTGATAGCAGTAATAGCTTCTAGTTGATTTATGTTTTGTAATTTATTTTGCCAGAGTATGTCTCCCTGCTTCAGCTAAATGTTTAGGCCTACAGTTTTTCCACTGGGCCTAAAGTTTTTTAAAGGTGCTGCCCCTTAAGGCTCTCATTTTACTCTGCTGAGTTTAAGACACTGATCCCCTCCATATGCACGCACGCACGCACGCACACACACGCACGCACACGGCATATCGGCACTAGTACAGTGGCATTTCAGTATTTCATTTTGATGCAATCCCGCCATGACCCGCCAACACGAAGTTTCAATAACACGATGGCGGTTTTGAGACCGGTTATTGACCAGAAATTAAGTATACACTTTGATTTGAAGAAACGAGCAAACAGAAGCACTTTGCACAAACATAAATGGTAATAACTGCCGCCCGCTTGTGCCGTGCCATGCGATATTCTCGTGCACGCAAATAACTCCCGCTGGATTCTAGCCGAGACAATCTGGGATTGCCGTGAGCTGAGTTGGTCCCTACTGCACTGGTCGTCATCCTGTAACTGTACGTCTCAATACAATGACATCGTACTTCACTCTTCGCTACTCTCCCTGGTCTGAAAACAGTGGATATGACAAGTTATAAACCTCCAGTGATGCATTACCATTGTTAGAACAGGTTGTTCTTTTCTCCCAAAATCCCTCGGCCCACGGGATTCTCGAGCTGTGCGCTTTTGACTGAGAACTTTCGAGTGCTACAATTGAAATTTCAGAATTAAAGTTATGTCATGTAAACAAAAAAAGCATCTTCATATCTGTCGGTTTATAAGTCAGATATAAACCTTCTCCTATGGCTATCCGTGAAAATAATGCACTCCAGCGCAAGAAAAGCCATTGGGCCTACGGATGCGGGCTTTTCCTTTGCCGGACTGCATTATTTTCACGGTTAGCCCGCGGAGGCGGTTTATATCCTATACATATGCCATTCTTATTATACTACACACTCATCGCGCTTAATGGTGCATGCTGATTTGAAACTACAGTTTCTTGTCTTGACGATTTATTTCTGAAATGTAAAGTGACGTTGAATATTAAGGCATAGGGGGTTT